AAATAGTGGAGCCAGCCTATTATGGATTGGAACTAATGACACAGAATTAATCTTGCCTCCTTTCAAATGGTTTTCTCAGACAATTTGTCACAGTGATGGATACTGACTGTCACAGAGCATACAGCAGCTAGAGACTTCAGTGCCTCCAGAACATTTCCTAGTATTGCTAGGAGGCAGATTCCTGGGTGCCAGGACATGGCGGGGAGGCTGCAAGTGATGAAAACCAAGTGCCTGGCCTTCCCAAGTGCTTAGCATAGGAGCCATCCCATGCTTGTCTGCAGAGATACTTCCTGTCTTGTTCCCCACAGTCCTGGAAAGGCATTGCATTTAAAGGCATGCTGCTTCCCCTGTTTTACTATTTTGTCCTAGTTTCATCTTTATGAAATAGCAATGGCAGTCACAGACATAGTTTAATAGGACTTTGTTTTATTACCAACATTGAGATCTACCTTTCTGAATATGGTTATACACTTATAGGGCTCTAGTCTTTTAAATTATTTATTTATTTATTGTTTGTTTGTTTATCTATTTGTGTGTGTGTGTGTGTACACATGTGTGTGTATGCTATAGTTTGAAAGTAGAAGTCGGAGGACAATTTGTAGAAGTTGGTCTCAGATCAAACTTAGGAGTCTGGCTTGGTAACAAGTGCCTTTTCCTGCTGGGCCATTTTGCTGGCATGAAGACACTAACTCTTAACACTTTTAGAAGACTGGGCAGTTGAGCAAGAAGGTCACAGAGCCTGTTGTGTTCCCATAGGTCCAAGAAGCCACTGCCTGTGTGTGGGCTTGGCCCTGTGTTTGTAAGCCTGAACATGACCTGGATGTCATCTTCTTAAGCAGTTTTTTTCTCCAGACAGCTGCTCCTGATTGTTGAGGGTGGTAAAGAGAGGGAGACTGTACTGTTGATACTTGGTTATGTGGCTGTACACTCAGTGCAGGAGATCAAGGCTGACATCCTTGGGGGCCTGGCAGTAGCTAAGAGCCACTTTCTCTTGTAGGTATATTGGGATTTCCCAGAAGAGCCTGTTTGTCTTAAAGTTCCTGTGGTGAGTCAGGAACTACCCTCATCTGGGTGGCTCTTTGTTAACCCCTCCTTGGCTGTGTGCACCTAGTGACACAAGCCCAACCTCTTTTCCTTAAAGCCACCCTGCTACTTCAGTGTCCCCACTGAGCAGACACAGGGCAGCCTCACTGTGGCACTTCCTTCCCATGATCAATAGAGGACACCTGATTCCCTGAGTGCTTCTTTTACTCCAGCATCTTTGGGCAGGAATAACCCAACTGTAGTTGCCAAGGTCCTTCATCCTCAGGGACAATGTCTCCATTTCTCTAAGACTCTCTTAAATTCTTCACCTCCAGTTTTTAGTGGATTTTAAGTGTCTGCTTAGTACTCTACATGTTCTTAAACCTTTCAGATTCTCCTTCCCTCAGCCCCTGCTGACTGTCTTGTGGAGAGCCTGTGGGCTGTGCATTTGCAGACTGTGAGAGGCTAGTGAGATGGCTTCTGCCTTTGTGTTGCTACCCAGCACCTACCTAGTACAGTATATGGGATATGTCATGTCCCCAGTGCTGAATGAATAGTGTTGATGAGTGAGAATTTCCTGGCCTGACATTGAGGTTTCAATCCACTGGTAATTTTCTGAGTCTGTCATTCTTCTTGGAAAGTTTAAGTCAAAATTTAGAGCTATGTGAGTATGAAGACAGGATATCAGAATACTGCAGGTGCTCTTCAGGGCATGCTAGACACGTCTTCATAAGCACTACATAAGTTGAATATACAGTAAATTGAAAATGTGTCTGAGATATTAACCTCTCAGACATTATTGTTTAGCATAGCCTGTCTTAAAGTGCTCAGAGAACTAATGTCACTCCACAAATGGATACAATCATCCAGTATGAAGCCTATTTTAAAGGAAGAAGGGCTCAAGCAATTATTAAGGACTTGTGTTCCCCAATTGCTGTTAATATATTATTGGGCATCAGCTACTGGCCCTTATGATGACATGGTGGACTGGATCTAATTACCCAGCACCACAAAGAGAAACCTGAATGCCATATCCATTGCTCAGAAATAGTGTTCAGAATGCAAAGCACTGCTTCTATGAACATTATATTTTCTTTTTTATGTCAACAAGATTCCAGAAAATCACACTATTTTAAGTTAGGCTCACAAGAAATAAGAAATGGATAATGGAGTGCTTGTATATGTTAGTTACCTCTCTGTTGCTGTCATAAAACACCATGACCAGGACAACTTATAGAAGAAAGAGTTTATTTGGGCTTGTAGTCCCAGAGGGCCAATAAGAGTTTGTCACAGCAGGGAGGCATGTCAGCAAGCAGCAGGCAAGGCTGCTGGAGCAGGGTGGTGAGAACTCACATCTTAACTGCAAATGTGTACCTGAGATACCCAATAATAAACTATGAGTCTTTAAACTCTCAATGCCCGCCTCCAGTGTCGTACTTCCTCCAACGAGGCCACCACTCCTAAACCTCCTCCCCTTGCATCACTGGCTGGAGACTGAGTGTTCAAATATATGATCCTATGGGGGATGTTTTTGTTCAAGCTATCCAACTGTATAATAAAATAAGGATTTTGCTTATTGTGGGTATATATCCATGTGAGCTTATGTACCACAGTGCACATGTAGAGGTCAGAGGACAACTCTGACCTCTCCTTCTTATTATGTAAGTCCCTCAGATTGACTCAGATCATCTGATTCAACAAGAAGTACCTTTATCCACTGAGCCATCTCACCAGCACATAATAATGATTTTTAAAACTAGTTCCCAACAGTGAGGCTGAGTGTGGTAACACATGCTTAGAACCCCAGCACTCAGGAGGCTGAGGAGGGAGAATTATGATGAATTAGAAGTTGCCTTGGCTGCTCAACAAGTACCATACCTGCATGGGTGACATAGCTCGGACCTCCCATAGACATAGATACACACCCAACAGAGAAAACTATTAATACTTACTTTCACATTCTGACTAGATACAAGTTTAAAGATTTTAAATTATTCAACATTGATAAAAATTAGTTGCATGAACTTGCAGTTGCTTCTGAAGAGCTTAGTTAGAGTGTTTTTATTGCACAGGAGATGAATTACAGTTATTTACGCACTGGATATTCTTGGTATGTACACTTGCAGCTAGCTATTCATTTGTACAGCGGAGAAGTCACTTCTCTTGTACCTTCTGCACTGTGAAGAGATTTAATAAGGCAGAATATTAGATTTAAAAGAACTTAAAATCCAGCACAGGGAGACTTTGCCAGCCCCCGTATTCTGTTCACCTTTTACATTCCCTTGCATTCCCAGGGCTGCTCACAGGGCCCAGTACCCTGATGTCAACAATTCTTAACTGAGGGAAAACAGGAGGTGTGGAAGATGAAAAGCCTTAGAGATTAAGGCAGTAAGGAAGTGGTTAATGAAGGTCGTAGGAATTGTGTTTTTCTAGCATTAGGAAAGAATGTTGTCTTGTGCCCTATACTGTAATGTTCTGCCCACATTAAACTTACACTGCACTTTGCAGGAGAGAATGGTCATCAGATGAAGACTGGCAGGATGAAATGGCTGCCATTGTTTTTCTTTTAGAAGGGAAATACTTTATCTTATCAATTGATTTTTTTTATTTGTGCGCATTATAGGCTGTTGGAGGTGCAGGAGGCACAGACATGTCAAGGTACACATGTGGAGGTCAGGGGACAACTTGCAGGACTCAGTTCATTCCTTCCACCATATATAGGTCTTGAGAATCAAACTTGAGTTGGCAAGCACCTGTCCCCAGCCCCAGTCACTGCACGTACTCCATTTATCCTGTTCCTGAGGCTCCTATGTTTCCCTTCAGGCAGAGGGAGAGAAAACTTCTTGTCCTTTGTGTTTTTCTATTTTACTGTCAGAGCACGAATCAACTTTATTCGTCGACTTGCTTTGGAAGGAGATGTGAAGGGCATCTTTAAGTGTGGTTTGCGCAGTCTAACTGAAGGCTTTTCACCCTCTTGTTCTTAAGCAGTAGGTTGAAGGCAAGAGCCCTTTTTCTCCATTCCTTCAATCTACTTCCTAGTATGGCAAGACTGTGGATAATGACTGTCCCTCTGGGGATATCTTTCTGCCTTTAAATATCATGCTGTTCAAAAATCTCACCTACACCTTCAAGCACTTACACTGTTTCTGAACAGTCTTACAGGTCTAAGCATAGCACTTCTGTTAAAGAAAAATACTAGACTTTCTGTCACAGAACTGAATCTGCTGAGTTTTTAAATGGAAAATTGAATTTTTTTGAGTATATCAACTTGGTTGAAATAATTGTCATTTCAAAATTTCATGTGAAGAAGCATCTTTAGTTGAAGAAGTTGAGAACTGTAAGTCTAGGAAAAGTTAAAATAGCTTTCTCTAAGTTGTTTCAGTCTTGTATATGATTGGAGACCTCTAAATGAAGAGCGGTCTGTAGACATGAGTGACTTACAACTTTATTAGTTGTCAGCCTGCCGTCCTCTTCCCTTGCCTCATTTAGTTACATCTCCCAGCACACTTGTTAGCATCATAGCTGCTAGCTGTATGCCCTTTTATTTTGACTCAGGAAATCTGATGTGTTCTTAACTCCTTTGGAGTATAGGTGTGAAAATTGAGCTCTGGAGAGATCAAATAGTTCAGTCTGGTGGCTAATTAAAAGCAATACATGTTAGAATCCAAGTGGGGAAACTTCCAGAGCACTGGTTTCTGCTACTTTTCATTATCACCTCCCTGTGTGAATCGTTACTTTCTGGAATTGTTTGCCTTCTAATGAGAAGAGCAGTTTTCAGACCCCTCCTGAAGATGCCAAGACAGTTTCAAAAATATCCAGGTTTGTGTGTGCGAATGTGAACATAGTTGCATTTGCATATGGTTTAGACTGACACTGGGAGATGCTTTGTTCTCCCCATCCCATATTGTATGCCTTGTGCAATCTTACCTTGGTCCTTGAACTTGAAAGTCACATTAATGCGAGTTCTTCTTTTGCAGCGGCTCTAATTAGAGGAAATCGTAAAAACTGTGCTCAATTTTCTGGTTCCCTTGACTGGCTGATCAGCAGACTGGAAAGACTGGAAGCGTCCTCTGGTATGTTCCTAGTTTTCTCCTTGATGTGTTTGGTGTTCCTTCCTGTTTCTTCTGTTTCTTGTGCTTGAAGACAAAGCAATTTTGCATGTTCAGCATTATGTTTTCCTTTTAATTGGTTGATTTTTTTTTATTGATTGATTGAGTCACTGTTGCCCCTGAGAGGGTTGGTGCAACCACAGAGCTTCTGGAAGAGGAAAGTAGTCCATTCTAGAGCCAAACATGAGTGACCATGGCCTAGGAACATAGATTTAGGTTACCCCAAATTCCATGTCCCAATGTAGATGCAGTTTTGGGAAGTTCATATAGTAACAGAACAAAGAAAGCCATGAATCAGAGCACTTTCCAAATGCTTCACTGGAAACATCGAGTAGATGAATCAACACCCAAGTAAGGAAAGCTCAGCCGTAGGCCTTGGAACTATCTGCTGACACTTGGAGTGCTCTGTACCTGTACAGTGATGGACGTGTTTTTACATGGGAAGCCTGCCAACTCCCCTCTAGTGAAGGGCCAGTGCAGGGTTCTTAGGGGCCTTCAGATGCCAGAACTTTGAAACATAGTGCTCAGTTCCTGGACACAGGGTGGTTTAAACACCCGAAAGTTACCATAGTTAATGATTCTTGGAATTTTGAAGCTCTTCATACTCTAAAGACATGATTTCCACTACTTGGACAAGAGTGTCTTATCCTCTGGGGCCCTATGAAGCCTTCCTCCTTGATACATGGTTAGATGTGACATGTTGAATTAAAAAGAGACAGCTACTTGAGTGACACCAACTCAGATGGCTCTTATGACACAGAGAAAGAGAAGGAGGCTCTTTCATTGGAGATGTGATTCTAGCTTTAAAAACATCTGGTGGTGTGTGTGTGTGTGTGTGTGTGTGTGTGTGTGTGTGTGTGTCCGCGCGCGCGCGCGCGTTTGCGCGGTGCGCATATGGAACAGTGAACATGTGAAGGTCAGAGGACAACTTTGGACATCAGTCTTTACCTTCTGCCTCATTTCTTGTGGGAGGCTCACTGGCCCAAGAGATTTCAGGGATCATTGTCTCTATCTCCATCCCTACTACAGGAGCTCTGGGATTACAGATTCATATTACTGCCTCTGGCTTTCACATGGATTCTGGGGAGGGTTCCAAATTTCTGTCCCCATGCTTACATAGAAAATAGTTTTTCTGCTGAGCCCAATATTAGCTTTTGATTTAAAGCTTTGTATTTTACAGAAAGTCTACCATGAGATATTGGAGGGATTATGTTCTCCAGTCTCGGGAAAAAAACCAAAAGCAAAACTCAAAGCAAAACTAAACTAAACTAAATCAATCACAATAGCATTGGAAATTTTCTAAAGAAAATCTTTGGTGACAGTCACTGGGGTCAGTACCTCTTTATATACCCTAATATTCCTAACATTCCACACTATAGACAGCCATGTTTCCTACCCTGATCTGTAGTAACAATAAAAGTGGTGTTTTATGTGATGATCTAAGGTGGTCAGGACTTGTAAACCATGCTTCATGTTACAATTACTTAAGAATGCAGGAAAATATAGAAAGCATTTTGTAAAACTATTTACTCCAAGTGCTTGAAATAAAGTATTAATTTTATGGCACACGCCTTTAATCCCAGCTCTCAGGAGGCAGAGGCACGCAGATCTTTGTGAGTTCGAGGCCAGCCTGGGCTACAGAGTAAGTTCCAGGACAGGCTCCAAAGCTATACAGAGAAACCCTGTCTCGAAAAACAAAAACAAACAAACAAAAAAGTATTAATAATAAGAAGGTCCTAATTTAGTAGTCAGGTGTTGTGAAAATTTAAAAATTCTCTCCCGGTCCAAAATCAAACCTTCCTGAGCCGCACCAGGAGGAAATGGTACTCTCCTCACTTCCTTTCTCCACAAAGCAGTAAGCTGCAACTCGAAGGAAGAGACAGAGAAAGAATGGAGCCTTCATTTGGAGGCTTCTTGTATTTTGCTGTATTTTATCAATAAGATGATATGTAGCAAGTGGGGCAGGGGGATCCCTCAAAGGAAACTCCAAATGAAACAGAACCCTTTTTTTTAAAAAATTTATTTTGCAATACAATTCAGTTCTACATATCAGCCATGGATTCCCTTGTTCTCCCCCCTCCCGTCCCCCTCACCTTCCCCCCAACCCCCCCCCCCCCCATTCCCATCTCCTCCAGGGCAAAGCCTTCCCCACAGACTGAGGTCAACCTGGTAGATTCAGTCCAGGTAGGTCTAGTCCCCTCCTCCCAGGCCGAGCCAAACAATCCTGCATAGGCCCCAGGTTTCAAACAGCCAACTCATGCAATGAGCACAGGACCTGGTCCCACTGCCTGGATGCCTCCCAAACAGATCAAGCCAATCAACTGTCTCACCCATTTGGAGGGCCTGATCCAGTGGGGACCCCTCAGCCATTGGTTCATAGTTCATGTGTTTCCATTCATTTGGCTATTTGTCCCTGTGCTTTATCCAACCTTGGTCTCAACAATTCTCGCTCATATAAACCCTCCTCATTCTCGCTAATTGGACTCCCAGAGCTCCACCCAGGGCCTAGTCATGGATCTCTGCATCCAGATCCCTCAGTAGTTGGATGAGGTTTCTAGCACAACAATTAGGGTGTTTGGCCATCCCATCACCAGAGTAGATCAGTTCGGGCTGTCTCTCGACCATTGCCAGCAGTCTGTTGTGTGGGTATCTTTGTGGATTTCTGTGGGCCTCTCTAGCACTTTGCTTCTTCCTATTCTCATGTGGTCTTCATTTACCATGGTCTCCTATTCCTTGTTCTCCCTCTCTGAGGTTTGCAGACAAATGGATGGATCTAGAAAAAATCATCCTGAGTGAGGTAACCCAGACTCAGAAAGACAAACATGGTATGTACTCACTCATAGCAGGATACTAGACATGAAACAAGGATGACTTGTCTGCTACTCACATCACCAGGGAGGCTACCTGGAAAACAGGACCCCAAGAAAGACACAGGGATCGCCCAATGACAGAGAAATGGAATGAGATCTACATGAACAGCCTGGACATGAGTGGGGGTAGTGAAAGGCGAGGGTCGAGGGAAAGAGAGCTTGGGGGAGCGGGAGATCCCAGCTGGATCAAGAACAGAGAGGAAACAGAACCCTTTTTAATGGGCTAAAACAATGTAAAATGTTCAAAGCTCCTAGGTTTCCTGACTTTTTTCTCTTCTTCAGAGTGCTTTTCTTGCAGCAGGTAGAGAAGGGCTGTGGCAAATTACATCTCTAGAAAATGGTTCTTACAATGAAAGAGTTCTTCAGCTATTTCAGAGTCAGGAATACAAGGTGCCCTGCTTCATGACGTGGAGCTGAGTGATTTTACAATTATTTTCCATGGTTACTTGAAGACCACTGTTCACTTCTAGCTGTAGTTCATTGAGTGCTAAGGGTGATGGGACGGCGAGGCTTGCTGGATTCTGGCTTACAGATGCAGAGGTTTCCCGGTTGGCTTAGTCATAGGTGGTGCACCCCAGGTTGTACAATGTTTGACGAGTCTATGGCTTCTAGAATGTATTTTGTTACTCATTAGGACTGTAAGTTCTCAAATGGGCAGACTTACTATATGTACACACTATTTCTACTTCTGCCTCAGTGATGTCTTTCATTATTATTTTTTGGTGTTTCTTTATCTTTTCTAGAGATTTTTTTTAACAAGAAAATAGATTTCTTTGGTACATTTGTAAGGGACATTGGGATAAGCAGTGGCAAATGTGCTGCCTGCAGCCTACTTTATGATTCTTGGAGTAACAGATACCCAATCACATGACCTGGAAACTTGCCTTGTTCTGTGAGTGTCAGTTTCTCTTCAATTTCTGTTAAGGAAGGACCTAAGGATGTCCTTGTCTATTTAAGCTTTGATGTGAGGCTGAGCCCCTGAAAATTATGAGTACTGTGGCATGGATACTCTTCAGAGCTGCTAGTGTGGCAGGAACCACTGGGCACAGCCATGGCACTCATGAACTCATAGTAGCTGTGGTTTCCTGCACAAGACCTGCACAAGATCAATCCAGTCCAAATTCTGGCATAGAAGGGGAAGGTGCTGCTGGGCCCCATTGCTTATCAAAGGAGTTATTGACAGTTGACCAAAATGATTGTCCCTCCCTCTCTTTTTTTTCCCTCCCTCCCCCCTCTCTTTTTCTTTCTTTTCTTTTTTAATGTGTGGCCACTTGTGGTGGTATTGTGTTCCCCAAAATATTGTGCACCCTAATAAACTTATCCGGGGTCAGAGAACAGAACAGCCACAATATTAAACATAGAGGTTAGGCAGTGGTAGCACACACACCTTTAATCCTAGCATGCCAGAGGCAGAGATCCGCCCAGATCTCTGTGAGTTCAAGGCCACACTAGAAAAAGCCAGAAATGATGACTCACATCTTTAATCCCAGGAAGTGATGGCAAGAAGCAGAAAGGTATTTAAGGCATGAGGACAAGGAACTAGAGCCTGGTTAAGCTTTTAGGCTTTTGAGCAACAGTTCAGCTGAGATTCATTCTGGATGAGGACTGAGAGGCTTCCAGTCTGAGGAAACAGGATCAGCTGAGGAATTGGCAAGGTGAGGTGGCTGTGGCTTGTTCTGCTTCTCTGATCTTCCAGCTTTAACCCTAATACCTGGCTTCAGGTTTGATTTTAATAAGACCTGTTAAGATTGATGCTACAGCCACTGGTAGATTTCCCATGTTCCTATGAGCAGACATGAAGTTGAGAGGGGCCTGTGTTGGAATGAGTGTGGTGAACTAGAGAGGAAATGGGGGTGGATATGATAATATATGAAATTGTCAAGACTACGAACTTGATCTGACATAGGCAATTGTGGGACAGTATTTTGCATATATCTCAAGGTTCAGAGAGCAGTGAGAAGCAATGAATAATAGAAAGCAGGTAGTCCCCTGGGTCCTATTTTTGTCACCAACAAGACGCAACAAGTAGAAAGTTAGATGGGTGACTTCATGTATTGGGTCACAGCCAGAATGCAGTGTTTTGCACACTTAATGTCTAGTAGAAGAAGGGCTTGTACCCTTTCATCTGTGACATGTTGTCAGTATTTCATGTGAAAAGTTATTTAGAACATTGTATAAAATATCCTTTAGGCTGGCAACATGGTTAGGCAAGTAGAAGTACTTGCCACTAAGCCTGATGACATGAGTTCCACCCCTGGGACCCAAATAGTAAGAGAGAACCAACTCCCAAAGCTGTCTTCTGACTTTCATAACACATGTTGTGATGTACATGCCCACTCATATATACAGTAAATAAATACATAAATGAGTAAATAAATAAGTGTAGTAGACATTAAAGTAAATCAAATTACTTTTGGAATATGTATATAACATAAAGGAATTTTGTGTCCAGATATTGACTCTGCCCCTAAAATATATCTTTATGTATATGCCAATCTAAAACAATAGTGAAGAAACCTCCTGAATGTAAAGCTCTTCTGGTCCTAATGTTCCAGGCAAGGGAAACTCATCTTGAGCATTCTGCTTTACTGAATTCCTGTCATCCTACCATCAGATTTCCATTCAAAGACAGAGAAGACAAGGCCAAGCACTTACAGGTCACTTGTTTGAGGTCAAGGAAAAGCAGAGGAGGATTGAATCTGCGTCAACACTATGAGCTCTGGAGTAATGTCGTCTTTGCTCCTCATTTTGCTCAGACCAAAGAGCTTACAGAGATTGGCCCACTGGATAGACTCAGTAACAAACTGATGAATGAAAAAAAAAATAACTAAAACCAATAACTATAGTGCCAAAAGTGGCATAGGAACATCTTGTAGTGTTTATGATTCAAATTGCCTCTGTTCTTTGAGACAGTCTCCTGTAACCCAAGCAAGCCTTTAATTCACTGTGTAGTGGAGTGTAGCTAGAATTTTTCTCTCTGGTCCTGCCAAGCTCCAGCAGTCCTGTAGCCCACTTATAAAATAAACATACAGATGCTTATGTTATTTAAACTGCTTGGCCATTAGCTCAGGCCTACCATTGTCTAGCTCTTACTCTTATACTCAGCCCATTTCTGTTAATCTATATGTCGCCACATATTCTGTGGCTTTACCTGCTGCCTTTACATTATGCTCCCTGGACGGCAGGCTGGCGTCTCCTCCTCTCCATCTTCCTGTTCTTTCAATTCTCCTCTCTGCTAGTCCTCCTATACTTCCTGCCTGGCTACTGGTCAATCAGTATTTTATTTATCAATCAATCATCCACAGCAGTGGAGGATGACCTTGAACTTCTGATCCTGCAGTCTCCAATTCTCTAGTGCTGGATTACAGGTGTGTGCCACCATGACTGGTTTTAAGCAGTGCTGGGAATCAAACCCAGGGCTTCCTGCCTGCTAAGCAAACACTCTATCAACTATCTGAGCCACATCTCCAGCCTCTGTCATCTTTTTTGAGACATAACAATGTATCCTAATAAAAATTTGAATAGTATCAAATTTCTGATATGGTCATCTGGTCTTTAGATCATAAACTGTCTTGAAACTGACATTCCTTTTTCCTAACTGTCCTTTGGCAAATGTAGTTTCTCTGTCCTTCATAAATCCTGGCTCCTCTGACGGAAGGGAGCAGCCATCAGAATCCTAATGAGGCTGAACTGCACATTACAGTTGCACTGCTCTGTGTTTGTGCTCTCTCTCAGTTAGTTTATCACGGGAAACTCTGGACTCACACCTGCCTTCCAATCCCAAACCTCAGTCTCTCTTCTTGGCTTATTGATTTTGCGCATGCTTCTCCCCAAGCGTGTTTCGTTACTTTGTGTATGCATTAGAATACTGTGCACTGGCTCCAGTCTCCAACTCTCTCCTGATTTTGCCAATTTGTGTTCTATTTTCAAACTTAACCTTCTCAACTTTTCTCCCTCCTCAGTGTCACGTGAGTTTGAGAAATAATGAGTTTATTTTCCTCTTTAGCCTCAAAAACAGTCTGAAAATTCAAAGTATATGTAATTGTGTTTTCTCAGTTAGGCTTGAAGCCACAGCTCTTTCAGTCATGATTTTTACACTTTATACATTTGAATACTAATGTGATATACAATTTTTTTTCTTTCTCCATTTGGGTAAGATATGGAAATCCTATTTAGGGTAACTTTCATTTGCTTTTATGATTTAGCCCTTGTTAACGAAAAGAAAGAAAATTCCATGCTGTTTCTTTCTTTTTTCCCTTTTCTGTTTGCCAGAAGACTTAAAAATAAATTAGTCATTTATCTTATACTGAAACTCAAATCATTTCTTATTTTAATCTTTGAGTACATTACTTTTGGTAAGTGTATGTATGGTGTGTGTGTGTGTGTGTGTGTGTGTGTGTGTGTGTGTGTGTGTGAGAGAGAGAGAGAGAGAGAGAGAGAGAGAGAGAGAGAGAGAGAGAGAGAGCACAAGTGTGCACATGCCATGGCATGCATGTGGAGATCACAGGACAATCTCAGATGCTGGTCCTTGCTTCCTACCTTCGTTTGAGATAGTCTTCCTTACTGTGCACCACTGTGTACATGAGCAGAGCTGACCCATGAGCTTCTAACAATTCTCCTGTCGTTGCCTCCACTCTGCTGTCAGTGGTTTCGTCTCACATTACCACTCTTCTCTTCTGTAGGATATGCTGTTCACATCCAGATCTAGCCATATTCCTTTCCTGATGCATTCAGTTTTGATCATGCTATGAGCTTTGTGAGCCATTGTTTGCTAAGAGAACCTGTTCTCAGTCTTCTATTGCTTGTTTTTTTTTTTTTTTTTTTGTTTGTTTTTGTTTTTTTTTCCCCTGAGTACAGGAGAGGCTGGCTAACTTTTCTGTAAAAGGCTAATGCCTCAGTCTCAGTGGCTGATTCAAAATACCACATGGACAGTGCCTTTTGGATTTGGTGTATGGATCTCCTCTCACATTGACAGCTCTTCCTTTCCTGGGTATCAGGAAAAAGCGTGCTCCTGTAACCTTCCTCCTCTTTAAAGGCACAGCCTATTCATAAAGAATCAGCCCTCATGACCTCAGGTTATAGCATCCAGATATATATTTAATAGCCAGTGTGCCCTAAGGTCTAAACATTCTGAAAATGAAACCCATTTTGCCTTTTTTCTTTTATAAACCTTAAGAAAAAAAAGGCATATTATACTTTTGTGATGGTTATAGTTTATATTTTTCATTTCTGTACAATTTTGTTTATTTCTTTTGTTTTTTAAATGGAAGTATTTTTTTTTCCTGGGGATCCAGTTTAGGTTGTCAGCCTTCGCTTCAAGTGCCTTTACTCACCTATCCCTCTTGCTGGTTTAGGATTATGTTTCTAATGCCAGAAAGCTTCAGAATCTGCCCTATGCTACTGTCCTTCCATGCCTGTCTCACATACTGGCCCACTCTGGTGTGCCTGCCACTCAAGCCTGTACTGCCCCCTCCTCTCCGTGAATATCTGGAGGGGGATACATTTGCTGAGTCCTCCAAGTCTGTCATACTGCTCTCTATTATACTCGCGAGGTACAGTCACCTTCCTCCGCTAAGCTTCATACTGCTCTCCACCGGGATCCGTTGACTTTGGATACCTGTCTGTTCTGACAAATGCCACCTGTTGCTTCCCACAGTGCCCTGTGGCAAACACATTGAGCACAAAGTAATTACATGTCAAACAGATCGAGTGCAGTTGAATGAAAAAAAGAAAAAAGAGCAGCTTCCCAAAACCTCAATCTCCTTCCCCCTTTCATTGTCTGTAGGCATTCTGGAGGTCCTCCACTGTGTGTTAGTGGAGAGCCCAGAAGCTCTGAATATCATCAAAGAAGGACATATCAAATCCATCATCTCACTTTTAGACAAGCATGGAAGAAACCACAAGGTAAGTGAGCTGTTTGATTTCCACGAGTGAATTCTAGAATCATTACACAGTGGGGAGTGGGCTATATATTGCAAAAGGCTAGAAGAAAGGATTTGAAATGTTTTTCACCAAAATGAAATGATAGGAAGTTTGAGCTGTGTGCATGTGATTGCCTACTGAAAATACAAACCAGTGAGAAAAATGGGATAAATGTTCAACAAGCCTAAAAGGAGTGAAATACTGAGAGGTCAAAATATCTAGTATGTATATAGTGATTTAAAACAGGCAACATGTGTATGCATCTAAGCATACCCGATTGTAACATGAATTGCTAAATGGTCTTTTAATAAAAAAACCCAGAGCCAGATATTGGTGTAAATGCTGAAAGATCAGAGAGACAAAGGAATAAGACACTGCTATATCTCACCTCACCAATTCCGTGAATCCTCTGACTGAAATCCTCTGAGTCCTCACCCGAAAGGCTTCAGCCAAAAAAACCTCTAGCTGTAAGGGACGGTTCTACCAAAAAGACTTTAGTTCCTGTCTCCTCAAGCCTTATATACCTTTCTCTGCCCAGCCATCGCTTCCTGGGATTAAAGGCATGTGTGCTTCCTAGTACTGGGATTAAAGGAGTGTGCCACCACCGCCTGGCTCTATTTCTCTCCTAGACTGAGTCAATCTCATTCCTGGGTAGCTTTGAACTCACAGAGATCCAGATGGATCTCTGCCTCCTGAGTGCTAGGATTAAAGGTGTGTGTGCCACCACTGCCTGGCTTTTATGTTTAATCTAGTGGCTTGTTCTGTTCTTTGATCTTCAGGTAAATTTTATTAGGTTACACAAAATATCACCACACCTGATAGCCTATATGTCAGTATGGTTTTTGTCTTCATGCATCAGTTAGAATAAATTAATAAACTAAGAGATATACCAACAGAAGATAATTTCAAGATGTTGAAATTTTCATGAATGTTTTTCATCCTTAGTTACCATGGAGTAAGATTGTTTCATGTAAAGTCATTGTAACCATGAGAGTACAAACAGTTTTTGCTTTGTATGTGAAAGAAAGATGGAGAGTCACTGGGACACACACTGTCATGTTAAAATGACTGAGCTGAGGCTATGGGTGAGACATGATACAGAGGTTTCAAAAGCCTGAGACTCAGAGTTCACGTCCCCCTCATCCACAAGAATGCTGGAAAACTGTGACTGCTTCCTGTAATCCCAGTGCTTGGGAGGCAGAAATAGGTGACAAGCTGGATTTAGAGTAGTCAAGTTGGTAAGCTCTGGGTTCAAGTGAGAGACCATGCCCCAATATGTAAGGTGGAGAGAATGATTCAGGAAGATGCCCAACATCAACCTGTCTTTCACATGCACATATACACATGTATGTCCACACACATTTGAACATGTATATACACGTGCATGCATACCAGAGAGAGAGAGAGAGAGAGAGAGAGAGAGAGAGAGAGAGAGAGACAGAGACAGAGACAGAGAGAGACAGAGAGAGACAGAGAGACAGAGACAGAGAAAGAGAGACTGAGAGAGAGACAGAGAGACAGAGACAGAGGGAGAGAGAGGGGAGATGATGGGATCAATCACAGTTGGGGTTATGTTTGCCTTGTGGAAAGTGCTGTTGATGAGGTCAGAGGCAGCTGGACGTGCTCTCTCTCCCTAGGTCCTGGACGTGTTGTGCTCTCTCTGTGTTTGCCATGGGGTTGCTGTCCGTTCTAACCAGCATCTCATCTGCGACAATCTTCTGCCAGGACGAGATCTCTTACTACAGACCCGTCTTGTGAATCATGTCAGTAGGTAAGTTCCCATGGACAATGTCATCCAAACCACTGCAAGGAGCTGTCTCTCTAGGGAAGCCAGAGGAGGTCTGTTTGTTTTACTAAAGGATTTGTGTGTGTTCCCCCACTAAACACGTATTGTTTTCTACCTAGTAGAAAGGTTAATAAAATAGCAATAGATGAACTGTTTACTGCAAACACATGTGTAAGAGTTTCTGTTCTCTTTCATGTGTGGACAGATTGCCACTGGCGTCTTCAGAAGTAGGCTGTAGCTGCAGTAATATGCAAGGATATAGCTGTAGGTAGTTGTAAGAAGTCACATTGTTCTTCAGTATCCCGAGAATGTGCCTACTATCGGTGATAAAAAAGATAGTGCCCAAGTCTAACACATTTCAAACTAAAAAGCTAATGAAATGGCATTTTCCACCAGACCAGCCTTTTAGGGAATCTGACAGTGTCACCTACAAGCTACCTAGTGCTACTGTTCCAATTTGCCCATGGCCTGTGCTGTCTGTATTTTGTGAGCTTTCTTCAGTACTGCTCTTGTCTAATTTTTGCAGATGATGAGGGTAGGACTGGGGTAATCCTTGGGTCTGTCTGCAGAAGCTGAGCTAGGGAGTACTATGCTGTCTTTCTTATCCCTTTAGATTAAAAAAAATCAATAAACCAGAAAAATAATATGCTCTATGTGGTAGAGTAACTAGCTCTTTCCATAAGCTTCCATCACTTTATTTTTCCATAAACAGAAGTGGTGTAAGATATGCAGCTTTTAAAAGATTTGTTTGTTTTCATTTTATGAGATTGAATGCATGGTATGTATGTGTACTACATCCATACCTGGAGGGCAAGAGGAGGGCATCAGATTCCCTGGAGCTAGATTATAGGCCATTGTGAGCCACCTTGTGAGAACTGAACCAGAGTCCTCTGTAAGAGCAACCACTGCTCTTAACCACTGAGCCACCTCTCTAAGCTCCCTGTGTTGTGTTGTTTCAACAGGAGTGATAAGGCTTTTGTTGTATGTCAGCCCTGATGTTAATGAGTGGTACTTCCTGACATTGCCATTTCTCCTTGGGATTCCTAGAGAATGTAAGCCCACTCTTAAAATGGACTTAAATGAAACTTGCCAAAAAAGTCTTCTGTTCAAAGTGAGGAAAGAGTAGACAGAGACAACAACAGTCTTCTTTTGTCACATGCTACCGTTGACCATATCATATCATAGCCCATGTGACATGGCCCTTATGTTAGGAAAATTCATGTGTTCTGCGTTAATAGCAGCTCCATTTATTATGTGGTCTTGTTGTATCAAGTATCTCATTTTATGATCTACATTTGATTAATGATATGAAATTTTCAAAAGATCAGTTAAGGAAAAAGTCCTATTGGACCCTGGATTGACTTGGCTGAGTAAACCCAACATCAGGTGTTACACACTCAAGGTGAACTGGGGGTGCTGTCTGCCTGGGTATCACCTCAGTGGTGGTTTTGTAATTCTGTGGTATTTGTTAAAATGTAAGTTTAGGATGTTGGATCAGTTACCTTACTTGTTGTCATGACAGAATACCTGACTGAAGCAATATGGGGAAGAAGCATTTATTCTGGCTTGCAGTTTGCAGGTATAGGTGGGTCAAGTCATGGCAACAGACACATACGATGGATGGGCAGTTTGCATGGGCATTCAGGAAGCAGAGAGATAAATGTTGGTTCTTAGCTTGCTTTCTCATCTTTAGTTAGTCCAGAACCTTAGCACCCAGGATGATACTGCCCACCTCAGTGAACTGAATCTAGAAACATGATCACAGACGTGTCCAGAGGTTGGTCTCCTAAATGATTCTAGAGCCTGTAAAGTTGATGGCACCGACTATCACACATGTACATGATAGAGAATTAGGAATAATATTTAGAATCATGAGTCAAGAAACCAATAGAAGCTTCCTTTGTCTTTTTCTGTCTAAAAGCATGAGGCCTAATATCTTCCTGGGTGTCAGCGAAGGGTCTGCACAGTATAAGAAGTGGTACTACGAGCTCATGGTGGACCATACAGAACCCTTTGTGACAGCAGAGGCTACTCACCTGCGAGTGGGCTGGGCTTCCACTGAAGGCTATTCCCCGTACCCTGGCGGGGGCGAAGAGTGGGGTGGCAATGGCGTTGGTGATGACCTCTTCTCCTATGGGTTCGATGGCCTTCACCTCTGGTCAGGTAGGCATTGTCCCTTTTCCTTGAACAGTTACCAGATGGAGGTCTTGTGACCTGTTGTACTTTTCTGTAAGCTGAGAACACTTGTTGTTAAACACCCAGACGATGAGTACAAGAGTTTAACGAAAAACAGAATTTTTAATACAGAAAAAGAAAATAATTGCGTTACAGTACATTTCCATAGGACTGTAAAGCTTGTGAATGTGTGTTTAAAAATGACATTCTAGTGCGTGAACAAACTGCAAGATTCTCAGGTGTTTCTGAATCACTTTAATTGGTATATTCAAAGATTTAATGTTTGTTATAAAAACCATACAATACAATGACTGGTTTCGATTCCAGTGAGCTAATGTAAAAGCCAGTCAAATGGAAGCTCCATGGGACCAGTCCAATCATGGCATGGCTGGGCAGGTGTGGAAATCTTAAAGCTATGTATATAATCAAGATACCAGCTGCCAAATTCTCAGTAGTGATTTGAATACCTGTTGCAAATGCTATATGTTAAAAATTTGTATTTCTTTCTCCAGATCACAAATAGGTATAATTTGGCTTACTTCAAGGTTTAGTTCTTGCATAGTAACATAGTATTATTTTTGCATTGTATTATTGTTTTCAGGTACTGGGGTTCACCTGGATGTTGCAGGCATGGGCAGTTCATGAAGCTGCATTTATATGACAGTTCTGGGGTGACCTTGACGTATCTTACACTTGGTGTGTGAAAGACATAGAAAGCTACTTTAGGTTATAAAAGCTGAACTTTGTCTCTTAGTTGTGAGTGATGTTCATTTAATAGTATAGAGGCCTAATAAAATCTAGAAAAAAAGGCTTAAAAATTTAAGTGAATTAAGTCCAAGAGTTGATAGTAGTGAGATTAATGAACTCAAAGCACTCTGTAGGGTCAAATCTACATAATAATAGTTATTGGGCCTGTTTTATCCAGTGCCAGTAGTTCAGATGTCATGAGGGTGCCATGTTTTGGATAGCTCATCCATCTCTTGGAGTTTGTGGTCAGGGGCCTCAGAATAATTTATATTGCCTCCCTCCAAGTGCATGAGCCAATCAGATCAGAGCCATAATGCCTTCCTTGTTCTCATGGTAATTTTCTGTGGTCCCAAGGACAGGAAAAGAGTGCTTAGCCTAACATTGGGCTAAGTTCTGTTTTATGGCATATTTGATCTATAATACCCTGAACTCTATTACCCTCACTTCTGAGAATTGCTTCATGGGAAATGGGCCCTCCACTGGATGAATGAGCCATGTTAAAGTGTTTCCCTTTTAGACAGTGGTTGGGGGAAAGGTTTCCTCAGATGCAAAGCCCAGAATTGCTTTATTGGACACTTCACTACTTCTGATCTTACATTACGTTACAACTTTTCCTTTTGACATATTAGAAAAGCTTCATGCCATTCAACTAAAACCTGTGCTTTATGCCTCAATGAGAAGGTGCTAAAGAGAAAAATAAGGACAGAGCATAATGTTTGCATAGATGTGCCATAGGACAGATGGCAGGTCACAGAATTCCTGGAGAAAATTATCCTGAAACTCTGTTGTCAAGAGAACTTATTTTTTAATCTTAAAATCTTTTTCTTGGTGTGAGGTGTGTGTGTGTGTGTGTGTGTGTGTGTGTGTGTGTGTGTGTGTGTGTGTGTATGTGTGTGTGTGTGGTCAGAGGACCACCTCTGGTATCAGTCTGTTTTCCACACAATTTGAGACAGGATCTTATTACTGCTGTGTACAATCCACAGACTCCAAAGATTCTCCCATCTCAACATAGGGGTGCTAGGATAACAGACATGCATGCTACTGTATGTCTGTCTTTTATATGGGTTCTGGGGATCTGAACTTGTGTCCTCGGGAATGTACCATAAGCCTTTGTCAACACTGAGCCGCTTCTCTGGCCCCTTGCTCAGTTTTTAAAGTGCTGAGAAACTATAAGTCATTATGGCTGTAGTTAAAAGCTGCGTTTATTCTATTTAGGAGCTATGACATGCTTTACAAAGACCAATGTAAAGTAGGTAGAATTTGCCTAAGTTCTACATCACGTTCTTACTAACTGAGGCAACTTTCCTAGGGTTGCTCTTGTATTTTTCTTTGTTTTAATGGTTTTTGTAGGATTGAAAGCATCAAACTGGCAGTTTCTAGGAGAGAACCAAATTTTACCATTGTACATTGTGTAATTAGAGGCCAGTATTCCTTGGAACAGGGATTTGGCTCCAAATCAATATTTGAATGACATCTTCATTTATTCTCCCAAACTCAACGATGGACATCATTGTTATTGAGGCGTCCCAGACGAGGACAAGAATATGAAATTCTTGCAACTTTTAAAGAATTGAAATAAAAACGTATAGAGGAGTGCTGTGGAGCAACATAGGAAAGATCAGTGTAGATTTATCACCCAAGGTTGTGAGTCTACCTGCTGCTCCTCCATGTGAACTAAAGGTTCAGTGGAATTCAAGGAGAGGCCCTCTACCTGGAGATGTAATCATGAAGCTTCCATACTGTGTGTACCATGGCCTTGAGTTCTTCACTCACTCTCTGTCTTAGCTGAGCACTACAGACTTTCCAGAGAAGAGGACATAGATAACCCTTAGGTGTTCATTAGCTTCATCACAGCAATGTCAATAAAGCTGAACAATATATTGGATTATAGTTAATGTGTAATTTTAGTATCATGGCTAAAATAGAAACATTCTTATTAACTGTGGATCTTGACACTAGCAAGAAATCAACTTTTTCTCCAGGAGCTGCTTTGCTGTCCTGTTTTTGTTTCTTCTTGTTTTTAAAGCTGCTTTTTATAATATTCAGGGAGTTCTAGAAGATGTACCTAATGATGATTCTGATGCTGAAAGAGTTGTGTATTGATAAGATCAAAACATTGTCTATATTTTAGAAAATAGAGACTGTTCTTTGTCTTTTTTGTTTGTTTTTTGATACAGTGTTTCTCTGTGTAGCTTTGGAGCCTGTCCTGGAACTCACTCTGTAGACCAGGCTGCCACTGGTGCTTTAAATGTGTTCTTGCTTAGAACTCTTGGTATGCTAGACATAAAAAGATGTGTGTGTGTGTGTGTGTGTGTGTGTGTGTGTGTGTGTGTGTGTGTGTGTGTTTATACAAAGCATAGGGGATGGAGAAAGGGTTCAGTTGGTAAAGGAGCTTGCTGCTATCCTGAAGACCCAAGTTTGGTCCCCAGGACACACATGATAGAAGGAGAGAATGGACTAGTTGTCCTCTAACCTCCACAGGCACATCATGGCACACATACATATACACATATCTTAGTCACTGTTCTATTGCTGTGAAAAGACATCAAGACTAAGGTAACTATTATAAAATAAAGCATTTAATTGGGGCTGGCTTACAGTTTCAGAAGTTTAGTCTATTATCATCATGGCTGGAAGCATGACAGCAGGCATGGAAGGCATGATGCTGGAGAAGTAGTTGAGAGCTACATCCTGATCTGCAGTCAGAGAGAAAGACACTGGGCATGGAGTGAGATTTTGAAACCTCAAAGCTCAACCACAGTGACACACTTCCTTCAACAAGGCCACATCCCCTAATTCTTTTTAAATAGTGCCATTCCCTGTTGACTAAGCACTCAAATACATGAGCCTATGGGGACCATTCTTATTCAAATCAACAAAGCACCCATAAAAAACACATAATAAGTAAATGAAAAATAATGTAATAAAATTTATGGCAAAGCATGAGTCATGAAGTCCTTGCTCTAATTGTGTATATGTTTGTGCCTGTCAGCCTATGTTTTGAGGTGACCCATACCTCCCTTTTTGTGTAGTATGCTGTGTGTAGTGGATTCCCCTTGGGACTAATTAGCTGATGACTTGTGATGTTATCAAGAGTGGGCTGATACCATTGGTTGTCCAGAGAAAAGTATGACATTCATCAAATAACTTCATGTCTCTCATTGTATTGTGCTGTACCCAATAAGCCAACCACACAATGTGTAAAGTAAATTTCATTATAAAACAAAAGCAAATTGGCCTTTCATTCTTTCACAGTAAGCAATATGCTGCAAGAACAGAGATAGTTCTGCTTTCAGTATCCCGACTTTATTTTGTATTTATGAAACAAAGATGGTCGTAAGAGAAAGGGCACCAACTGTAAACTATGCCTGAAACTACTGATTTTAAATAATTCATTACTTTTTTCAGCACACTAATTCTAGAAGATGGTACTATTTAGTGCTCAGCTTATAAGAAATCAGTGCCATGAGCAAGATCCAGGACAGGCACCAAAACTACACAGAGAAACCTTATCTCAAAAAACTAAAACAGCAACAACAACAACAACAACAACAAATCAATGCCAGTCCTGGTGGCACATGCCTTTAATCCTAGCATTTGTCAGGCAGAGAAAAGGTGGATCTCTGAGTTTGAGGCCAACCTGATATACAGAGCAAGTTCCAGGAAGCCAGAGCTACACAGAGAAACCTTGTCTTGAAAAACAAAACAAAACACAACCCAAAATAATAACACATACACAAAAACAGAAAGGAGTCAAGGTTCAGAGGGTAAGTCATTTGCCAAGGGCTGTACAAGTTCACGTGGTAGGTGGCAGGGGTTATTGGCAGTTAGATGCTTTCCTAGGTATACTTGGACATCGTTATATTTTCTCTGAGATCATTTCTGCATCCAGTAACATACATATACATGTAGAAATTTCTAGACATGACAAAGCCCCTTTTCCAGCCAAGCTCCTTAGCTCGTGGAAAATAAAATGTTTGCTTTCTTTTTGAACAAGCGTTCTAACACATGATATTTATTTTGGAGACTCACAGTCCATATATTAGTCACGTCTTGTTACTGTGACAAGATACTCGTCAAAACAGTTTCGGTGAGGAAGCATTCATTTTGGCTTACAATTCTAGGTGACACAGTCCATCATGGTGGGGGAAAGCATGATGGCAGGAGCAGGAGGCAGCTGGTGATATTGTGTGCACAGCCAGGAAGCAAAGAGTACCATTGCTGATGTCAGCTCTCTTTCTACGCTTTATGGAGTTTGAGATTGCAGCCCAGGGGATAATGCTGCCCACCTTTAAGGTGGGGCTTTCCACCTCAACCTAGTCTAGATAATCCCAGAGGCTTATCGCTTTGGTGGTTCCAAGTCCTACCAAGTTGACCATGGACATCAACCGCCACAGTGCATTCTTCCCTCATGCTTTGGTCCATTACTCTTGCTATGGCTCAGAGGGTGATTCTCTGTGTTAAATTTCACCTTACTGTTTCCCCCAACAGGTTGTATAGCTCGAACTGTGAGCTCACCCAACCAGCACTTGTTGAGAACTGACGATGTCATCAGTTGCTGTTTAGATCTAAGTGCCCCAAGCATCTCATTCCGCATTAACGGACAACCTGTTCAAGGAATGTTTGAGAACTTCAACATCGATGGCCTATTCTTTCCAGTTGTCAGTTTCTCTGCAGGAATAAAGTTAGTATCTCTCTGTTGCTTAGTTTGTTTCTATTCTCACTTCTCATACTTCCATAGAGGACTCTCCCCTGCTTCCCTAACCTCAGAGCTTCCCTCTGAGATAGCCATTTCTAGATGTGTATTGTCTGTTCCTGGAAAGAAGAGGTGGGGTCCCCCCAAAAGCCCTACCACCTCTTCATCACCCTGTGGAATTCTCTGGGGCTCTCCTTTCAGTATCCTGAAATTTCACACCCATTTCTCTAGTTCACTGTGGTGTTTTATAAAAGGGAATGGATGAAATTCTACAAAGAATATTTTAATTCATGATGGCCTACCATAGTAATTGTCCATACTGTTACCTATTAGTATATTTGTGTATCTACCTAATGTGAGAAACTCTTTTATTCCTACCTACTGTTTTTGTTTTGGTTGTTATTTTAGTTCTAATGTTTGCCCAGGAATAATTTCTAGTTATAAAGGACCATACTGAAGAACACTAATCCAGAGGCACTAGCTAGCCATGCAGATATGGCCATTTCTGGTGTATTTATACAAATTGTGCTACTTTCCCTTAGTTTGTGGATTATTTGAAAGTTTTTCATTGTTTTATCCTACTTCCTTTTTTAGCATGGAAATGAAACAAATTAGAAAATAAATTATAAGGACTTAAAAATGTTAATTGATTTTTTTTGTAAGCTGAACATCTGTATCATTACTGTCATGTAACTGTTTCAAAGTTCCTTCAATAAAGCTCATATATTTAATTGAATGTAATGTCCACAAAATCTTAGTGAGTTCTTTGCTGTTGCTGAATTGACAAAGTATTGGAACTATGGCAACCTGCCTCCTCAGCAAGCAGAGGTGACACCTAGAGTTTCTTTAGGAAATTAGACTCTGGACAGTGACTGGTTTTCCCTAGTAACTCATCCAGATTCTGTCATTTAAGCACACAGGTAGTTAGGTCCCATCTTCACTGTGTCTGATAGTACTTGGGTGTCTTGGGACATTGAGTTACTGAAAATATGTTCTTAATTCATGGAAATATGATAATGTACCTTTCAACATGAAACTGTTCTTTGTAGTTCGTCAAGTGTTAGGTCATCACTGACCTGTGAATATACTTGAGCTGAGATTTTATCTTTGGTCATTATGATGCTCTTGTGTTTAGTCTCTTGGGGGAGAGGCTCTTAGATTCCTAGGTGAGAAGACTATTATGATATTGTATTGGCTACTTTTCTGTTGCTGTGAAAATACCATGACCAAAAGCAATGAAGAGTTTATTTTGGCTTATAGTTTCAAAGGGTTAGAGGTCATACTGGCAGGGAAGACATGACATAGCAGCTGGAGTGGAAATCAGGATGGTCACATTTTCATCCACACAGGAAGCAGAGCCAAAGCAGCAAGTAGGGTGATCCTATAAACCCTGAAAGCCCACCTCCAGTGATGCATTCCCTCCATCAAAATTGCACCTCCTAAGGATTCCGTAACCTCCCCAAACAGGGTCACCTGCTAGGGACCATGTGTTCAGATGCATGAAGCTAATGAGGGACATTTCTCATGTAAACCACCATAGATACTTAGCAGGGAAGGGGAATGTGGCTGTGACAAAGTTAGTTTTGTATTAATAAATTTCCCTAATATTTTTCAATTGGAAAACTTTCATGTGTATCAAAGATATGATTGACTCAAACTTGCTTCCTTTGTAGGGTTCGCTTTTTGCTTGGGGGGAGACATGGAGAATTCAAGTTTCTTCCTCCACCTGGCTATGCAGCTTGCTATGAGGCTGTTTTGCCGAAAGAGAAATTGAAAGTAGAACACAGTCGAGAATATAAGCAGGAGAGGACATACACACGAGATTTGCTGGGGCCCACGGTGTCCCTGACCCAAGCCGCCTTCACACCCGTTCCTGTGGACACCAGCCAGGTACAGAAAGAGACAATGATGGCTATCGGTATACAGTGGCTCTCAAGCTTGGATTGCAGCCCACAACAGTGCACTTCTCAGCCATTCAACTAATGGATCTCATAAGATAACACTCCTCTTTTTGTTCTCCATTTGTCTGTTTTCTATCCTGTGTTTTGGCTTTTCATAAAGAATTATCTCAACCTGCTGTGCTTCTTTCATAATGCTTCACTCCATCACAATGTGAAGGGTTTGTTTGTTTGTTTTTGTCTGATAGATGTAACAGGATTCTGAGATTGAGAGTGAATTAAACACAGCTCTATTTGAATGATGTGATAACTTTTGTGATGTTCATTAGATCATTCAGTTTGTTTATTTGTTTGGAACATGGAAGGCATTTATTTCTAAAAAGTTGACTTCATACTGGGTTCCAGAAACTTCTGTTTTTATCAGTCATTTCGTCACCATATCCTCATTTGGCCAGCCACCTTGTGGTCTTTCTTGAGAGGTCCCTAAATATTTTCCCTTTCTAATAGGAAGGTGTAAGTGTGACCTGACCCCCTCCCCCGCACCGTGAAGCATAATTTGGGGAAACACTAAAAGGAACACAGCAGAGTTCATGGTAAATCAGTCACTTTGTCAGATGCCCAGGATCATGGAGCCAGTGAACTGTCTGCAGCCTACTGGCTCGCCCTGCCCTGTGGGCACTGGCTGGGGGGCCTTAGGAGTGCTGGGTGATTCCTCTTTCTGACTGATGCACACCTTGATATTGATCCATATCCACTTAGCACCTATCAGTTGCCTTCACCAGTGCTCTTGGGAATCTTTCTGGAATGAGCACCCCAACACCAATGAGAATGGAAAAGAGGAGATGTCACCAGTGGATTGAAGTCAGGACAGCTCCTGAAGGGCTTTGAGGCTGGGTCTAGTTTGTATTTTCATTTTATACTCTAAAATTGCAAGGTGCAAGATTTTACAGAAGTGTATATGTCAGTCAGCAGGTTGTTAAGGGCAACGGCCTATGGTTTCAGCTGTTTCTCAAGGTCATTCTGTTCCAGTAGCAAGTAAAGCCATGCTTAGCAAATAGGCAGCACTGCTTCAGGCAAACTACTAAATACATCAATAAATCAATATCTAATAATTGGTCTTTTCTACCTTATTATACTTTATTCTGTTCTCTTTGTCCATTTATTTACTTGCAGTCCTAAATGTACACACACACACACACACACACACACACACACACACACACACACACACACACACACACACCAGCATTTATCTAGTGAACACTATGAAATAGCTGGTTTAGAACCCGATTATTTTGTTGTATTTGAATGGTTTATGAGACACATGCATTTCTTCAGGCTCGCACAATGCTAGCTGGCATGGTACCTTCCAGCATTTGTTTCTGATGAGCATTCTCTCCCTTCTTTCCAGATTGTGTTGCCTCCTCACCTGGAAAGGATAAGAGAAAAACTGGCAGAGAATATCCACGAGCTCTGGGTTATGAATAAAATTGAGCTTGGCTGGCAGTATGGTCCGGTATATGATTTTGAAATTTATTCTCAGATTCTGTTCATAAATCATTTGGAAAGATAACATTTTCTCATTCAACCGGCTGTGGTGTGAAATGAATCAATAGAATTGATTTTCTTGAGGCATCTTGGTTCTGTGCATCTTTTTAAAAACCAAAAGGAAAGGCAATAGTGGCAGACTTACTTCCTGACTTGAAAGTTACTAGTGTATGAACTGAAAGTTGTACTTTAAAAATCAAATTAAATATAGACAATGAGCCTTTCTTTCCTTTTGTTTTTGCTAGAAAACAGGAAAAACAAAGTTGAAATTGGAATGAAAATAAATAAGTCAATTTGTTTTTTCTCCAATATTCTCCTTCCATCCCAGATATATAGTAGCAGAGACCTGTGAGTAGATGTTCCTAGTTAGCTCCATGATTTGAGGATAGTGTGGCCAATAATAGTGTATATGTTTCCCAATACTTATTTACTGAGGATTTCACTTTATAATTTGTCAGGAAAATGTTGCTTAAAATAAGCATATAACTCTCTATGACATCTCAGTTTGTGATAAACGTATTTTAACAGGATCTTGGTAATAATGCTTGTGGTTTTAGAATCGTACTTGGATAAGTATCCCAAAGGCTGACATGCTGTCTCATGATTGACTCAGTATGGAAATTAGTACATTCATCCATGGCACCTCAGTGTGTCACACTGAACTCTGAGTGCAGTACATGGTTAGTGTTGGTAGCCATGCTAACGGTTCATGTATGTTTAGAATTTTGTCCTTTGATGTGGACTCTCATGTGGAGATGATCAGCTTGGACCATTGTTACAGAACACTGGATTCTTGTCATTATTTCAGTTTTTACTTCAGTATTTCCAAAGTCAGGTGTAGGCTATGGTAAGAGAGGGAAGGGATGAGCCAGGGTTTTGATTCACTCTGTTCACCCTGGAGGCATGGCAGTACTGGTTCGTCTCTGGAATAGGGTAGAGAATTATATGGAAATTACATAAACAGGGAATTATGTCCAGGCTCATTCATTCTTGCTTTCATCTTTAGAATTTAGGACTCAAAATTTGGAGTCTTCAGTTCAGTTTTGTAACTCTGTTTCATTCGTAATTCCCATTCATTTGTAATTCCCAGAGAAAGAGGAATAAAGCCAAGATTTCTAATTTGGCTCTAAAGAAAAAAAAATATTGCTCATGTTTGCACACTTTTTCAGTGGCATATATAGAACCTGGTAATTATTCCCATGGAGTAATTTGTTCCTTCACAGCTGATGGCTGTCATCAAGGTGCCACCGGGGTAGGAATGCCTGTGTAATTTAGGTCTTTACAAAGATTACAAAAATTTAATTACTAAGCCAAGAATAGAAAGCATCTTCATTAGTTCCTTCCTATAATCTTGAGTGTAGTGTGACCACTAATGCACTTGGCTCTTGGCTTTTATCACTAGATTCTGCATTCATGGATGCAATTGCATGTAGGTAAAAAAAAAAAAATCAGAAAACAATTTCCATCAGTATTGACTACGGATAGACTAATTTTTCTGGTTATTATTCCTAAGCAAGATTGTATGACAACTATTGACACAACACTTTCAGTTCTTCACGTATTAGAAGTCATTCAGAGAAGACTTAAAACATATGTGTGCAAGGGGGAAAGGGGACATTTCATAGGTTCTGCATACAGACATTGTCATCTCAGAGAATGGACTTAAGAATCCAAGGATTGTTTTGGATCTGAGGTTGGAGCAAGATTGATAAAATCTTGTACCCAGTCCCCAGTGGACACCAAGGAACACTGGCAAAGTTTACTATGAAGAAAACCTTTATTGTGCCAATCAATCTGTTAAGGTCATGGGTTTATTTGTGATCTCAGAAGGTGATTATGGAGGTTGAGATGAGCAACCAAAACTACCTTGGAGTTTATGGGTGTCATTCATGTTGCTTTTTCATATCCCTGAGCAGATTAATTCTAGATGGACAAAGTACTGTAAAGTAAAGCTAACGTCATTGCCGTATCTTTTCATAAAGTTCATCCATATGTTAATGCCACATGTCAGGGCTTAGATTATCCAAGGGCTGTTTCTTTGAAAGAAAGTTTCTTCTTTCACTATCTTCTAGTGAAAGAAGATAGACAATAAATTGAGTAAAAATCTAGTCTTCTGGGCATAGTGTTGCAGGTCTGCAATTCTAGCTTGCAGGAGACTGGCAGGAAAATCTGGAGTTTCAGGTCTGACTGCTACTTAGTGAGTTCAAGGCCAGTTTGAGCTACCAAGTAACCCCCTCCCTCCCATCTAATCTATTACCAAATAGTATTGTGTAGAATTAAAAGAAATAGACAGTAGGGTCAGTGAGCAGATTATTATATTAGAAAGGCAGATGAAAAAAAGGAGATTTGAGCAGGTTCTGGAAGGAACCCAGTGAGCATGCTCATGGACCTCAGGAGGCAGCATGGGGTCCTCAGCTTCTGCATGTGGGAGTTGAGGACAAGCTATATCAGCGTGAAGAGAGTAGGGAGTGAAGACCATGCCAGCCTTTGTAACAGACATTTGAAGATTCCAGAAGCTTCCCAGGGGCAGCTGTCAGGGTTCCATCTCCCCAGCTGTCCCCTCACAACTGTGTTTTATACTGGAGGTTCCTCGATGCTGATTTCCCATCCTGTTTCAGGTTAGAGATGACAACAAGAGACAGCACCCATGTCTGGTGGAGTTCTGCAAACTGCCGGAACAGGAACGCAACTACAACCTGCAGATGTCGCTTGAAACTCTCAAGTGAGTACCTTTGTATGTTATAAACTCCAGGTAGCCAGGTATTGACATTATACACTTTAATTATGCTGGAAAGTTCTTTCTATTGTTAGAAAGTTCAATGAAGTGTAGGTGGATTGGATCAATATTTGTTGGGAATTTGACTTTGGTTTTGTTTCTTTGCTGGTACATGGCTCTGGAGTTGTTTGTTAGTTGATCTTTCTTATTTATTTTATCTGTCTGTCTGTCTATCTATCATCTATCTCTGTTATTTGTCTCTCTCATCTATCTATCTATCTATCTATCTATCTATCTATCTATCTATCTATCATCTATCTATCTATCTATCTATCTACCTATCTATTATTGTTATTATTATTATTGATATACCTTCAAATTCATGTTTCTTCTATCAATGGGGGCATTAAGAATGTTCCTACGAAGACAAGTCTCAGTAGGGTAGAGGTGTTGTCTTCCTCTGTGGGATGGGTATGCACAGCCAGAGGCTCTATCCCTAGTCTTCCTCAGAGGGTCAGGTACTGTACTATTCAGCTCTGGCATCCTGCCTAGGTTTGCAATATGAGCTAGATGCTGGAGAATTCCCTATTCCTGTGGGCATAGCTCCCAAACCACTTGGCCTTCTTCCCTGTGTCCACAGCTTCAACAGCTAGGAACTGTGGAAGTCCACACAGACCTGTGGGTCTTAACCTGGGTCAGATCTGATCCCACCCTGACTCCACAGCTTCTACTGAATCCTCTGTGAAATGTGATGGTCCCCTCTTATTTTATATATTCTGCTGTACATCAGTATTTCCCAAAGCGAAGCCTACGACTGCTTAAGGGAATTAAAGAATACAAAAGTTCTAGAATCTAACAGCACTGCTTGGAGTGTGAATCAGGGCCTAGGCTAGTCACAAACTGTCACTGGTCTGTGCTGATTTTAGATATGAAAATTAAATGCTCAGAAATATTCATACCAACTTAAAGGAGAAATGTCCATAGATTTAATAACTTAAAAATATAGGCTCATATATTATATATCTTGATTTAGATGTTTTTAATTTTATATAACAGTTTTATTATACTTTATCAGAGTATCAGACTTATGACTAGAAATGAAGAAAAAGTTAGCCCTTCACCACCATTATCTTGAAGAGCACCGACTTAATATATGTAGAGGAGTTACAAGAGTTAACCAACTTTTCATTTTGATGATGGACTCTGTATGTAGCTGGGACTATTGATCTCTGAAAGTGGGTGGAGTCAAGTTATATTGTTTCCTAAACTTATTTAACAACAGCACACTGTTTTGGGGGGAACCTGGGAGACCATTTACCTGTGCAGCACAGTTTGAGAATAACTACTGTCAGCTAATTTATACCATCTCATAAAGGCAGCTATACAGTATATATGGTGTTTGTGTGTGTGTGTGTGTGTGTGTGTGTGTGTGTGTGTGTGTGTGTGTGTGTGTGTTCTCATGGGCACTCACAAGCCAGTTTGACACCAGTGCCCTCCTGAAGTGTTTACATCTTATTTTCTGAGACAGGGTCTCTCACTGAACCTGGAGCTCACCAATTTGACAAGTCTGGATGGCCAGCAAGCCCCACGGATCCTCTCCCTTCTCTGTCTCTTTAGTGCTGGTTTACGGACATGCACTGCTACATGATCTTTTTGCACATGGGTTCTGAGTATCCCATTAAAGTACTCATACTTGCACAGCAGGCACTTGACTCAGGGCCATCTCTTCTTCCCCATCATATCTTTATTTTTTGTTGACTTGGCTGGTGGAGACTGGGGATATAGCATGTTTCTGTGAATAAATAGTGTGTCTGGGATAAAATAAATAAAGGAATATGTTTTCAGATTTTACTTTAAAATGTTACTCTTTAAAAATTCTGTAACTTTTATTTTTATTTGTGTGTGTGTGTGTGTGTGTGTGTGTGTGTGTTTACCTGTGGAGACTAGCAGAAGTGTCAGATCTCTTGGAGCTGGGGTTACAGGTAGTAGTGAGATGCTTGGCATGGTCCTGGAAACTAGATTTGAGTCTCTGGAAGCGCAGAAAGTATTCTTAACTGCTGAGCCACGTCTCCAGCCCCTCTAACCCCTGCCTACCACCATATCCATCATTAATGTCTTATAGAAATGGTTTTGATCAAATTCATCCGTTAGCTAAATGTGCTTCTATATTTGTCCCTTTTCTTTGTTTCCTGTTAAGAGCAAGGAGTAATTCATACTGAAGTCGCTTTACCACAGACTCAGAATATAAAACCCAGGTGACAGTTCAGGCTTTGGATGCAGAAGCCACCCATATGTGGCAGATGAGGTTTAATGTCATGGAAATAAACACATTGGGAGTGAGCTTAGGGTCAGCTGGTCACTTCCTAGGAGGGGTGTATGCACAATAGGTCAATGGAACCTTCTGAAGGCAGATGATGGACAGGCTGGTTGGGCTAAGGAATACATTCTGTGTCACCATGACCAGCTCTGACACTCTGCAACTCTTCATTTGTAGTCATGACAAAACATTCATACATTTTGTTCTGGAATTCACGGTGACTTGTTATTTCCCCGTATTTTACAAAACAATGTAGTTAAATTTGCAGTGCTTTCCTTGTCACTTGAACAATTGGCAGCTAGACCAGCCAAGTGTAGAAATGTCCGATTTGCATCGAGTGTGCTAAAGCTTTGACTGCTGTGTATAATCGAATCTCCCTTCTAACCACTCTTGGTGGCTAGTTTGATGAATCTGTAGACGCCTGTGTGTAGTGTTTTTCCCTGAAGGGAATGCTAATGATTCTGCTCATGACTTTATTCTGAACATTTCCTTTTTGTTGCTCACAGCTAAGTAGTGTGCATACATATGGTTTTTGGGTTTGCTGATTTTACCTGCTTCTTTAAAAGCCAATTAGAGGGGATGAAGCCTCACTGCTCCTACACACATTTACACTGTCAAGCAGTCCGGGTTCTTGGGACACACACACAAGACGTAGGGAGAAAGAGTGAGAGAGAGAGAGAGAGAGAGAGAGAGAGAGAGAGAGAGAGAGAGAGAGAGAGAGAGACTGAGACTTAAGCACACACAGTCAGAGGCAGAAGGATAGACACACAGGTAAACAGATACACTTATATACAGACAGAGAGATAGAGAGACAGACAGGCAGACAGACACACACACACACACACATAGGTAGACAGAAAGAGGCACAGACATATTCATATACAGAAACAGAGAAAAAGACAAAGAGATACACGCTAGGTTGGGTGGCATGTGTACAATTGTAATGGGCTAGCCCATAGCATCAAATAACAGTGCTCAGAGTCCAATGGATTCTTTCTGAAACATGGCTCTTGGCTTGAGGGTGGTCAGTCTGTTTTCTTGGGGTTTCACATGGCCCCAAACCAATCTATTTAAATGTTACTCTCAATCAAGAAACACCTTCATGGACTGATCTGAAATAATATTTGACCAAATACCTTCATAATGTGACTCACTGGAGTTAACACATAAAATTAATGAGATACAATAAAGTAGATGTCAAGCTTGCCCCCAGGTTTCTTTTTACCTGTAACCTACAACTGTCCCTCTTCTCCAGCCAGCTCTGCTCTCCCCACCACACATCTCCACAGACCTCGGCTCCTGTAGACATCGGTGTCGTCTGCAGCCTGGAGCATTTCCCTCCTTATCCAACCCTTTATGCCCGTAGAGCCTTTTACTTTCCTTTTGAGGTATTAGCTATTCTTATTAGGATGTATCTCAAATGTATTTATTAAAAATGTAACCTGCCCTTAGTTTGAACTTCACCTGGTTTTTCTGTTAATTATTTGTGAGCACCTTCTCGCTCGCACACTCTGATTGCTGCAGGCATTCTGTAAGGCATTCTTGCAAAAGGCCTGATCCACAGCAGTAACTTGGTGGATCCCCACTGCCATGTCTTTGTTCAGGCCCGGCCTGTGATGGTCACTCTCTGTGTGAGATGAAGCCACACTTTCTCTAGGAAGTGTGTGCTGGGAAGAGGATTAAAAGGCTGCATGAATCTGTACTGAGAAAGTCACACTGCAGTTTGTAGAAGTCTCTGGCTCTTGTTAGAGCCCATGGGGGCTAGAGAGATGGCACAGTGATTAAGGGTGTATGTTGCTGTCAGAGGATCCATACCCACTGTGGGTCCAGCTCCAGCCACTGCACTCATATGGAAAACCCACACACATACACATCATTAAAACAAAATAAAATTGTAAAAAAAAAATAGCCCATAAGAAGATGACATATACCAACTTAATTTTCCATAGGTCGGGCCTTTAGTATCATTATTCATGTTACTTTGTCAGCATAAATTCACAGTCCTTACCTTTGCAAGGTGTGATGTTGAGGTACCAGTTTTTCTTGATAGGAGCATAAGAGCTGTTAACATTCACATAGGACACCCCCCCCCCCCACCCACACACACACATACATACACCAGCTTAGGAATTATGGTATAATCAGATTTCTTGGTGGGCATGTACTCACAGGCGTAATTACCTGAATTTAAGATAAATTCAAACATTATTGTCATCCTTATTACTTCAAAGCTGGCTTTGGCATCTCCAGTTGATAGTTTCATAGCCCTCTGCACATCTCATTGACCCCAAACCCGGATCAGAAGTGTCTACTGTGTGTTGCACAGGACTCAACACTTAAGCATTTAACAAATACTTACTGAATGGATACATGATTGAGTAGAGGACAATAGGTAACACACTATCTGCCCCAGGACACTGTTATTGAATAAACACAACTTGGATTCACTCTATGAGACAATTTTCTATCCTTCTGTTGCTGGTTAGCCTTGTTTTAATAGGTAAATTCTTTATTTTATCAATAACATCTCTCCACTCACCCATCCATCCATGCAATTATATCTAGATGGCTAGATAAAATATATGCACAGACATCCATATATGTAAATATCTAGATATATAGATGGATACTAGGCAATTGTTGGTTCTAGTATGTATTAAGTGTATGTGGTCATTCACTATAGTATTGTTTAAAACAGTTGAAAAAGGAAAAGGGTCCTAAAAGAAAATGGGTTAAAAACATTTTGACAGTTCCAACAATAAAAACAATTCACTTCAGTGATGAAATGGCTCAGCAGTGAAAGGCATTTGCCACCAAGTCAGAGAAATTAAGTCTGATCCCCAGGACCTACACAGTAGGAAGGGAAAACTGACTCCCACAAGTTGTTTTTTGACCACCACTCATATGTGTATCTGTCTACATAAGTAAATGAATAAATAAAATATTTTAAAATGTAACAAATAGCACTGGAGAGATAGTTTGGCAGTTAAGAACAATAAATGTTTTTGTCAAGGACTCAGGTTCAGTTCTCAGAACCCACATTGTGGCTCAAAATCATACATATCATCCATAACTCCAGTTCCAGAAAATCTGATGTCCCTTTCTGACTTCTATAGCCACCAGACATGCACACAGTGGACATATATACATTAAGGCAAATCATTTATATGCATAAAATAAATATAAATACCCGAAAGTACAATAAATAAATCCATTTGGGATTTTAAAGTGATCACTTTCACATGAGAGAGCAATGGCATAAAAGTTGTAGGAAAATATAAAAATAGTAAGTTACAGAGAAATAGCTCCTGCATATACTCATTAGGGTAAAAAGTAGAACACAATAGTGCCAGTACCCATGTGCAAACCCAAATATCTGATTTGGCATATGCAGAGACCTCCACTCCAGCGTAACACAGACCTGAGAACACCTGATATTTAGATAAAGAAACATGTAGAAAAGGGTTGAGGGAGGGTCCAACTTTTCAATGCTAAGGGCTTAGTGCTATTTCAAAGTTCATTGTCTTTCCCCTTACATGGAAGTAAATAATCTATATATGTTTCCTTTACCTTTGGAGGCAGAGCCTTGTGCTCTTTTGCAAGGTGGAAGATGAGGTCTCACTCTCGCGTGCTCTTATGCTGGGTGCTTTGGATGTAGGGAAGTGGTTCTTCGGACTCATCTCTGTTGTTGTTTCCCAGGACTTTGCTGGCATTAGGATGTCACGTGGGTATAGCAGATGAACACGCTGAGGAGAAAGTGAAGAAAATGAAGCTTCCCAAGAAGTAAGTTGAGTGACTCGCCTTTATCTGATAGCAGATGTGGATCTTCAGCACCCTAGAATAAACCTCGGAGGAGACAGACAGGCCTGTGTCCTTAGCTATGCAATCCAGACTTCAAAATGTAACGAGGCTGGGGAGATGGCTCAGTTGTCAAGCGCTTGCCTTCGAGTATGGAGATAGGAATGTAGATTACCAGGGATCCACAAAATACCAGGTAGGTGTGATACCCTTCCTGTAATTCCAGCCTCAGAAGGTGGAAACAGGATCCCTTGAGCAAGTTGGCTAGTGAGACGTGCCATATTGGTGGTGGTGAGCTCTTATTGAGAGATCCTGTCTCACTCAGTAAATAAAATGGGAGAGGGATGGAGGATTAGTCTCAGCATCAGTCTTGGGTATCCACATGCTTACAAGCAAGTGCTCATGTGTATATGCACATGTGGTGCCTGTAGGCATTCAGAAACATGCACACACATGTACACCACATATGCACACACTCCGTGTGTATGTGTATGTGTACATTTTTTTGTGTGTGTGGTGCAGGTTCATGCATGGTCAGAGGACAACCTTTCTACCTTGTCTCTCTGCCACTACATAAGCCAGGCAAGCTGGTCCATGAGCTCCTGGAGACTCTACTGCCTCTATGTTTCATCTCCCAGTGGGAAACACTAGAATTACAGATGCTTGCACTACTACACCTGGATTTCACCAGGTTCTGGGGGACCCCAAATTTGAGTCATCAAGCTTGTGCAGCAAGTACTTTTACCCACGGAACCATTTCCCCAGCCCCCTGTGTATATGTTTTGAAGTGACACCTTTTACCTGTTTTCTGTGTATCTCAATGAAAATAGGTCCATAGTGGCTAGACATCTATGTCACAATTGTTGTTTCAGTTTTCCCTTAAAACTTTATCTCCATCTTCATGTACTACATTGGGTTCCCTACCCTCTCTCTGAAAAGATGGTGTCTACTAATCGTATGTAGTGACCGTTCCTTCTCTCTTGAAATGTTCCTTCGTCTTGACTCAAGAAATCTAAAGTGTAAAGGAAAATCCCAGGTAAAAGGAACTGAGGTGGTGGTGCCTTGCCACATTTGATATTTATTTTAAAACAAACAAAAGGGAGTGAAATAATAGAAGAAATGTATGCCTGGACATTCCCGATTCCAATTTCTGTTTCAAATTAATTCTGCTCTAGTTGTTTTCTGGAAAGCGTTGTTTGAATATTCTCTATACCCTTTCCCTGAAAATGTCAGCCAAGTGCTCGTTTCTAGATGTGCTTCCAACAGGACATGCTGTTCATATCTCAACTGTGCAGTCATCTGAAGGGTCCCCATTTGTTTCTGGAAGAACCGATTTTCTATTGGAGTTTATAGCTAACACCTACATAACCTGGACTTTATCTTCTCATGTTCACTACACATCTTTCAAGACAGTGATTTCCCAGCTTCCATTAACTTGATTCATACTACATGGGGTATGAGTGGCTGGGGCAACACAGGGGTTCGCTAAGTGTTGTTGGTGTTCTGGCCTGCTTTGGCTACATTTTGCTTGGTCTCTTTTAGACAAGTTTACACTATCCACTTAGGATATCTGTGGGTCTTGTGGGAACGGAATATAAAACTGGTCTGCCACTTACCAGAATTCCCATCTGCTCACCCAAGAGATAGCAATTCTTCTTCTTTTGTTTACATCTTCAGGGATTTGATGCCGGTGGAATGGGCAGTTCAGCAGAATTTGTTTGCTTTACTTTTGTTTCTCTCTGTGTCTCTGTCTCTGTTTCTGTTTTTTTGAGACATAGCTTTTCTGTATAATAGTCCTGGCTGTCCTGGAACTCACTTTGTAGACCAGGCTGGCTTTGAACTCACAGAGATCCACTTGCCTCTGCTGGGATTAAAGTGCTGAGATTAAAGGGATTAGAGTGCTGGGATTAAAGGTGTGCACCATCACTACCCAGTTTACTTTTGTTCTCTTTTTCACCAGGTATTTAAAAAAGAAATTTGACTTTAAAGAAAACTCATAGCCAGACTATAGTTTTTATTTGTTTTATTAGATTATGTACATGTCAAAATAAAACTAAAAGGTAATAATTGCAAAAGAATGTTGGTACTTTGTCAAGTGAATGGATTAGAGTTATATATATATATATATATATATATATATATATATATATATATGCTTAATTATATACTATGTATATAATGCATGTATGTATATACACCTAATGAGCTAATTTTGTAGAGTTATTGGCACAAGGAGCTGGCATGTTGAAGTAGATGTAATAAGAGCTACTGCTGAACAAATATGTGAAAGGAGAGATGGATGTGGCTAGATGATTCTGTTAGGATTTTTTTCAGAAATTTCTAGAAGGTAGAATGTAATGCATAGATGGGTCTGTTGTTGAAAGGCTACAGAATTTTGCTTGCAAGAATCGTTGCAGGAATCATTCCCTTATTTCTTGTGAGTTTCCTGGAAATCAATCTGAAGCTTTATTTCAGGCTATTAAGCTTCCAAGATTAACATCAATTTCTTTTGTCAAAAAAAATCTGAGCTCTTGGTTTTTCCAAGAAGATAGTACTTCATATAAGCCATTGGTTGATCACTGTGTACCTTATTAGATACCATTAATGTGATGAAATGGAATAGTTTTATATGTTCCTTTTAAATATTCAATTTGATTTAATGATTTGACGTGTGTGTGTGTGTGTGTGTGTGTGTGTGTGTGTATTCATAGATATGACCGTGGCCATGCATGTGCTGTGGTATGCATCGAGAGGTCAAAGTTCAGCCTCAGGTTCGGATCCTCACCTACCTTGTTTGAGTCAAGCTTTATCTGCCACTGTGTACACAAGGCTAGCTGGGCGTGAGCGTTTGAAGATCTTTTTTGGTCTCTGCTGCTCACTTTACTGAAGGAGTGCTAGGATTACAAACATGGGTACTGCTGTATCCAGTTTTATTGTGGGTTTGGGGATCTACGGTCAGCTCCTCACACTTGCACAGCAAGTGCTTAACTTATGCAGCTGTCTCCCTAATCCTCGATTTGATTCCTCAATTCTTTCTTAGGATATATATATATATATATATATATATATATATATATATATATATATATATATATTATAGACAGAAAAGTCGTTTTAGTCATGTCTAGCTCCCTGTGAAGCACTCATTATATCAGCAGTCTCAAGTCCAGCTAGTTGAATGTATGACTTTCAGAGATACCTGTATTTATCTTTACTGTGTGAGATGATTTGAAGTTAAAGGAGTGGATGTGACATGGTTCAGGTGAAGTGGTAGGCACTTTAGTTTGGATGGGATTATTAGTTATTTAAACAAACTTCTCTAAAGCTTCCTTTGTTATTTCCTGGCACAGGGTGATAGAAACTCAGATGAACTAAGCCATAGTTTACAGTCTGGGATGATGACTTAGATGATAAATTGCTTGGCTTGTGAGCATGAGTACCTGAGTTTGATTTCCTGGATCCAATGTTTAAAAAGCTAGGCATGATGGTGCCCACTTATAAATACAGCCCTGGGTGTACACTTATAAATACAGCCCTGGGCATGATGGTGCACACTTAAAAATATATCCCCAGACATGATGCCGAACACTTAAAAATACAGCCCTGGGCACGGTGGTACACACTTAAAAATATATCCCCAGACATGATGCCGAACACTTACAAATACAGCCCTGGGCATGGTGGTGCACACTTATAAATACAGCCCTGGGTGTATACTTATAAATACAGCCCTGGACACGGTGGTGCACACTTAAAAATATAGCCCCAGACATGATGCCGAACACTTATAAATACAGCCCCGGGCACGGTGGTGCACACTTATAAATACAGCCCTGGGCACGGTAGTGCACACTTATAAATACAGCCCTGGGCATGATGGTGCACACTTATAAATATAGCCAGCCCTGGGATAACTGAGTCAGATGGATTCCTGGGGCTTTCTGGTCATCCAACCTAGTCTTCTTGGTGAGCTCCAGGCCAGTGAGAGATGCTATCTCAAAGATAAGGTACATGGAACCAGAGGAATGACATCCAAGGTTGACCTCCTGCCTCCACACATGTACATTTGTACAGGGGTACCTACACACTTACAGTCTACATTTGAAAATGAATGCGAACTAATTATTACCCAACTTAAAATTAACAAATATAAGCAGAACTTCATGGCTTTCACTGAGATCATTCACAGATCAAAGCAATTTGGGGAGAAATTCCATCCAGGAAGAGGACGTAGATGTCAGGATTATCTGGTTTCACATGAATAGAACTTGTCTGTAATATTGTACTAAGAAGGCATCCCTCCTTCCTCTCATCTATCAAAATTGCCTCCTTGGTATGTTACATGTGGCAGGAAAGCCTCCCATTAACTTTGCTTGCAGGGAGGCATTGTTTTTCTCAGCGAGGGTGGTTTGTATGAGTGTTGGCTTTAGTCAATGATTTATAGATTGATCTTTGATCTTTATTATCTTTGTGCCCTTACTGATAGCTGCCCCTGAGTAGGTCCCTGAGTGCCCATTTAAAAGCTGGATATGGTGGTGTGTTCATGTAATCCCCGCAGTGGGGGGGGGGGGTGGTAGAGAGATAGCTGCATCCCTGGGAGCTTACTGGACAGCCAGTCTAGCTGCACTAGTGGGCTCCAAGTCTGTTGAGACACCCTGTCTCAACAAACAAGATGGAGAGGAGATGACGAAGATGTTTGACATCATCTTTGGCCTCCACAGACAGGAGCACATAAATACACACACACACACACACACACACACACACACACACACACACACACACACACACACAATCTTTAAAATATACGTGAGGAGAAAGGCCTTGAGTGTTGTTCATTTTAGATAATCAAATTTTTGTTTTGAGCCCCCCCCCCCAAACCTCAACTATTGGGAACACACAGCTGTAGGTCCTTTCTGCCTTTTAGAGATAGGTAAGCTCTTTCTCTCTACATTTTGTTGACATGCACACAGAAACATAAAGACCCTGTGACTTTTCCAGCTACCCAGGCAGCAGCTAAAACAGAAGGGGCTCAAGCTTACCGAATGCTCTTTTGGCCTGATCACCACAGTCTTCAACAGAATGATTGGGATTAGATGGACCAGGACAGGACTGTCACAGGATTTCCAAAATGGGCAATCTGAAGTTTCTCTGTTTGCTTTTCAGTTACCAGCTGACCAGTGGATACAAACCTGCTCCAATGGATCTGAGCTTTATAAAACTCACCCCCTCTCAGGAAGCAATGGTGGACAAGTTGGCCGAAAATGCTCACAACGTGTGGGCCCGGGACCGAATCCGGCAGGGCTGGACTTACGGCATCCAGCAGGTACCCAGGCAGTTATCATTTCCAATGGAAAGGATGAAGTCATGACTTTTCTCAGCTCACCTAGACACCTTAGTGTGTTTATTTTTCTGGCAAAAGCATCTCCTCACTGCTAAACCACCAAGGTGGTTCAGTAGGTCCAGTAGGCAAAGTACTTGCCTCTCATGCTTAGCAACCTGGGTTACATCCTCACCACGAATGTGAAGGTGGAAGGGGAAAACCAGCTCCACCAACTTGTCCTCTGGTTTCCACATGTGTACTGTGGCATGTAATGCTCCAGCCCCAACCACATACACAACCATAATGAATACATTAAAAAAAGAAATTTGGTGACCATAGCTATGTGTGATAGGACAGCAAATGTTAGTTGAGCTGCAGATCCCTAGCTTGCACCAAATGGATCATATTACAAGGATAAGATTTGTTGTATGGTTTTGGGCATTCCTTTCATTGAGGCTGCTTAGGAGGGACTGTTGAAACACAGATATTGAGGTACAGTAAAAATAAAGTAGATCACAGTTCCTGAATCACAACTCTGATTATCAGGATTCCATTCAAAATTTTGTTCTGTGTTGTTTCTCAGAGTGGTAAGATGACATATTACATGTTACAGAACACTCTTAGGGACCAGAAGACTGTAAATTACTTTTCCAGTGCAATCTAGACTTGATGGACACCCTGAAGAATAAATAAAGTCTGTAGTAGCCTTGCATCTGCTCAGGGCACCAAATGAGTTTTGGTTCAGTTTAGGAAAAGAAAAAAACAAATTTTTGGAGTGTTTTGGATTTCAGAGTTGAGTACTAGTTGTCATGGATTATTTCCTCATATAGACACACTCACGGAAGTAGCTGGCAACCTTTGAGTAGAGGTGGAGGCAGCGCAGCAGAGGGTGAAAGCAAAATTTAGCCTCACCACTTAACCACATCTTAATTTATCTTGCTGTCAAAATTCTGTGTGCTACTGTTTCCCTCATTAACAAAATATCTGACTTCATTGTGTGATACAAAAGGCAGTAGCAATTCCTGGCACCTGGCAGATTCTGCAATCATTTTTATTATATTAGAAGCTGCCACTCAGCTTAGAGTTTTGTAGTTACTGTGTTGAACTCACACAGTTTCTACCAAGAAAGACAGAATCTTGTTCCCACACTATACACAGTAGGCATAGAACCTTAGGGAGAAGACTCTGCCCAATGCTGCCCAGCCATCAGTTCACAGGATAGGACTGGGGTCAAGTTCTCTGACGTCAGAGCCAAAGCTTTTCACTTCTTAGAGCATCTCTTGGTAGCTCATGGTGGAACGCCTTTACTAGAAGATTTTCAGGGGAAAAAATGGATAATTGCTTGAAGACTTAGAGTATGTTTCATATAAAGAAAAAAGATGGTTTGAAAAATATATTTTGAAAGGCTTTACCACTTCAAAGACTAATGAAAACTAGGCTTTATTTACCTTTATAAAATAAAATTGTGTGTGTGTGTGTGTGTATGTGTGTGTCGTGAGCTCTCTCTCTGTGTTTGTGTGTGTATGCCTCTCTCTCTCTCTCTCTCTCTCTCTCTCTCTCTCTCTCTCTCTCTCTCTCTCTCTCTCTCTGTGTGTGTGTGTGTGTGTGTGTGTGTGTGTTGAACTTTCCCCACTGGCCCCACATGTTTGCTGCCTACTGTCTGAATGATGAACTCTTCGAGTTTTCACCTTCCTCTTCACATTATCTGCTTCAGAAATAAGCTATGAAGTCTTGGAGAGTCTCTTATAGGTGGACTCAAACACAAGTGTGCACAGAAACCAGGGGAACTCCATCAGCAGTCACACTCCTAGTCTGCCATGTCCATAGACTATGCTCCATGAGGCTCCTGGCGTTTTAGACTGGGAAGCTTAGATGGCAGAACTCAGCACCAAGTCAGAAGTAAGGAGAATAGGCAGTAGGATTTGAAGATGTGTCGGTGGGAAGGCCTCTGCTGATGCTGCTTGTTGTGAGTGGGGGTAGCTTTGGAATGTCACCATTCCCACAAACAACCCATATGACTTGGTTCTAGAGAGAGGTGAATGGTCAGGCATTCCTTATAAACTTGTGGGAGGAAGGGGAGAAAGAGACAAAACAGGGCTCCTTGTACCTGTCCAGTCCTTTAGCTTGTTTGGTTTTTCTGTGCGTTTAAGATCAGATCTCACTATGTAGCCAAAGCTGTCACTGAACTTGCAATCTTCATGCCTCACCTTCCCAAGTCATGAGATTACAGGATTTGTCTCCATGCTTAGATTACCTCAACTGTGTGTGTGTGTATGTGTGTATGTGTGTGTGTGCGCACGTGTGTGTGTGTGTGTGTGTGTGTGTGTGTGTGCGTGCGTGTGTGTGTGTGAAAGACAGAGACAGAGAGTCAGAGAGAGAGACAGAGACAAACACAGAAAGAGAGAGACGGAGAGCCTCAGAGTTCCTCCTAAGCCAAGGTAGAGTAGGACCTGATGGTCCCTTCATCAGATATGAAGACTTTAGCTGTGGGGCTGTAGCCCAGCTAGCCGAGTGCTTGCCTCACTTGCACCAAGCCTTAACCTCCACCCCCAGCACTGCTGCATGGCTCAGATGACTGCAAACCTTCTCCCCGATACAGGACGTGAAGAACAGAAGAAACCCCCTCGCCTCGTTCCCTACACTCTTCTGGATGACAGAACCAAGAAGTCAAACAAAGACAGTCTCCGAGAGGCGGTTCGCACGCTGCTGGGCTATGGCTACCACCTGGAAGCTCCTGATCAGGACCACGGTACTGGTTTTGCTTTGTCCCCCTTGGTTGCAAAATCATGTAGTGGGTTTTCATAGCCAAGGAGCACCTAAAAAGGGAGGGCAAGAATGCCTCTTCTACTCTAGGTGTTCACTTCAGGCTGGTGACCTGGGGTGGTTCCCCCACCCTGAAGGATTAGACCCATGTCTTAGTGAGTGGCTCACTGCTGTACAGCTTCTTTGCAGTGCTCACCTTCCCGTATGTCACATGTTATTCCTCTTCCTCCTCCACATTTCTTTATTTTATGTTCCACCTGTCAGTTTAATTTTGATCAAAAGACAATTAAATGTAAAGATTGACTGGGGGAGATTGATCTTTTAACAATAGTTCACCCATTTATGAACATGGCATATATACTCTTTCTTGTTAGTTTCTTTCAGTGGTTTTTAGGATAAAGAATATATATTATTTATTACAGTCATTTAATACAACTGTATGTGAAATTAGCTTTGATTTAACTTTATTTAGTAGGGTGTTTTTTAATGTGAGATACAGGTTGGTATTTGCAGGTTGATTTTGTTTCCTGTGTGTGTGTGTGTGTGTGTGTGTGTGTGTGTGTGTGTGCACATGTGTGTGCACAACTGTGTGTGTATCAGTTCCATTTATTTTTATAAATTTCATAGAATTGTCTCTATATAAATAAGACAGAGTCTCACTTTTTTCTTTTACAATAATTGTGTTTTACTTTTTGATTGACTGAGTGTGTGAGAAATTCAGAACCATGTGAAATAGAAGTGGAGAGAGCAGTTGCCTGCTTAGTCTCAGTCTCCAGGGAACATTTTAACACTTCACAGTTAGACATGGTATTAACAGTAAATAAGATTTTGTTTCGATCTTTCTTTTCCCAGGCTAGGAATCAAACTCAGGACTTTGTCCATTCTAGACAAGTCCTCTATCCTTGAACTATTCCCCTGGATTCATAGATTTTCTTTTTTCTTTCCCTTTTTATTTTATTGACTTTGCTACTTGGCAATTTATAAATATATATGATGTTTTAAGATTACTCTTGCCCTCTTATTTCCCTCCATCATGACCAATACTCTCATTCCTCAATTTCTGTCCTAGACTTATGACTTCTGCAATGTGACCCATTTAGTTTACCTAGTGCCATTTTTGTGACAATTGGATTGGAATTCTCCATTGGAGTCTAGTGGGGTCATCAGGGGGTACACAATTGCATACAGTAGTCCCTCTTTTCTCTGAGTCTATCAATAGTAAATAGTTCAACAGAGAGGGCTCCTAGGTCCCTCCCCCATCTATACCTGACTGCTGATTGGCATATTCTTATGCAGACCCAGTGCTGAAAAGAAATGGTAGATGAGAACTCCCTAAGGCTCTGAAACATGGTGAAAGATGGGGGGGGGGGCTGCAGAATGAGTCTTATAGGCACGAAACAGCCATTGGAGTTAGGAACTCACAGTAGCTAAGGATAACTTCTTTTTAAAAATTGATATCATTCACCACACTGAACAGACCTCCTAGTTTATAGGGAGAGTTTGCCATGCATGGCTGTTAAATATGTTTTTTCTGCTTGCAAAGAGGAATATTTATTTTCTCTTTTATTCTTTTGACATTCTTTAAAGTATTGATATTTGAACATTAAACCAAATTTTTATTTCTTGGACAGCTCTATTTAGTCCTGATAAATTATCTCCTTTTTCTATGTACAGCTAAAACTGTTTGAAATGATTGGTTTAGAACCTTTGCATCTATCTTCATAAGGAATATTGGTACAGATGTCTCTTGTAATGTCTTTCTTGTGTTTTGGTAGAATGTAAAACTGGCTTCACAATGGACAATAGGAATTGCTCCTCCTTCTTCTACCTATCTGCTGAAAGAATAGTCTATTTTGTTTCTGCCTTTTCCTTTTTGATAGGCTTTACCAGTTTTTCACTGAAATCCTCTGAGCCTGGAGGTGGTCCTTGAGGAGAAGAATTTTTATTATGTTTACTGATAAATCCATCTGCACAATTGAACTAGCCATACTTACCAGCATAGAGTTGTCCACAGATCTTCATTGTTCTAGTGTTTATAGGATTTATTGCTAATACCACCTTACCTCTCCAATTTAACGGTTGTTGGGTTCTTGTTTTTACTGGCACTGGAGACTGAATCTAGGGCCTGAATCATACTAGTCAGGTTCTCTGCCACTAAGCTACAGTTCCCCCACACTTGGCCTGCTGGGCTGTCTTGCTAGCTCTTAAACTTTTATCTAGTTCTTTCACATATTTCTTTATTTTCTTAAACTTCTTTGAAGTGGTTAGTTAGTATTTCTTTAGGACCCAGCCTTCCTTAGAGTCAATTTCTGTTGCCTGTTTCCTTTATCCCTGTATATAGTACTATACTTTGTGGTCTTTGCATACCTTAGAACTTTTGTTAGAAATTGGACATTTTAAATAATATATTGTGGCAACTCTGGATTTAGTTATTATGTACGTTGCTACTTTTTCTGAGCTAATTTTGTAAAGTCTATGTTTGTCATGTGTGGCCTTTTGAAGACCTGTTTATTTACTTAGTGGTCAGCTAGTGAATGACCAAGACTTCCTGAAGTATCTTTCTAAGGAGAGGCTGCAGCTGCTTGTTGGGACGTTCTCTAGCATCCTACCAAAGAGTTTGTGATTTTACCTAAGCTTCTGTTTGCTGCTTGTGCACAGCCTCAAGGTCTTTCAGAGATAAGGCCAGGCAGAAGTTCTCAGATCTTTTCTGAATAATATGCATAGCCAGGAACAGAAGCGTAACTTTGTAGATTTCTAGGAAAATGAGAGTTCTTTCCCCCATACAGCCTGTTGTGGGTATCTCCTTCCCAGGCATCTCTGTCAGATTGTTTATTCAACTGTTGCTTATCTCATAGCTGCTGCTACCTTGAGCAGCTGCAATGTGAAAGAGTTGTCCCTGCTGCCTTTAACAACTGTCCCCATGGGGAAGAGTATTTGCATTGAGCTAACTTTAAAGTTAGATTGAATATAGAAAAAGTTGGAAGTGAGATTTATCTGAAGATGGACCAGGAATTAAAATCTTGACAGTTACCTCTGAATTGGCCTTTGGGGGTGTTTCAGCCCTGTTCTGCCTTCCCCAGAGACTTGTGGGTAGCTGGCTTCTCACTGTGCTTGAGGGGCTATTGACTTTCAGGATATCTTGGAGCTGGAGAAAGGGGTCTAAGGATGGACATGTTAAAAATATCATGAAGCTTCCTGTGTGTATATTGGCCTTTTTAATTGAGCCGGTGCTCCAGGGACTTCCATCTCCTTAGGCTACTTCTCAGGACCTTGGGAGGGATGAATGCTGCTTGTGTCCCTGTGATCTACAGAGCAGAGAATTCTGTGCATTCTTTACTCTGGTGATGACATTCCAAGCAAAGGTTAGCAAGAAGAGTGCAAATAGACAAGAAGACTTTAGAGAAACATTCATTGTCTGATCAAAGGTAGAGACAGACTTAAAAGAGGTGCCAACCTGTGTATGTGTGTGTGTGTGTGTGTGTGTGTGTGTGTGTGTGTGTGTGTGTGTGTGTGTATGTGTGTGTTTTCCAGCAAACTCAGCAGAACAGGGAACTGGTTTGGAGTTATGGTTAACAGACTAGGTAGGGAGAAGATCATAAGGCAATACAATGCAGAATACTGTATAGGTCAGGAAGAAAAGAAGGAACCGGGGCCAGTGAGATGGCTCAGTAGTAAAAGGTTCTGTTCTCCATTCCAAGACTCATGACTTGAATCCAATACCTGGGACCTACATGGTGGACAGAGAGAACAGACTGCTGCAGGTTGTTCTATGACCTCTGCATGTGCACCGTGGCATGCGCACACGCACACACACACACACACACACACACACACACACACACACAAATATACACAAATGTAGAAAAAAAGGGAGCTGGATGGTGGTGGCACACACCTCTAATCCTGCACTTGGGAGGCAGAGGATCTCTGTGAGTTTAAGGCTATCCTGGCCTACAGAGCGAGTTCCAGGACACCCAGGACTACACAGAGAGACCCTGTCTTGGAAAACCCAAAACAAGCTGGATGGTGGTGGCACATGCCTTTAATCCCAGCACTCGGGAGGCAGAGGCAGGTGGATCTCTGTGAGTTCAAGGCCATTCTGGGCTACAGAGTGAGTTCCAGGAAAGGTGCAAAGCTACACAGAGAAACTTTGTCTCAAAAAACCAAACCAAACCAAACCAAACAAAAACAAAACAAACAAACAAAAAACCAAAAAATAACAAAACATACAAAAAAAACCAAAAAGGAGACAAAGAGTAGAAGGAACTTAATGATTTTGCAGGTGGTTATATTCATACAAGGAATTGAAAAAAGAGAGGAGAAACAGTGATCAAGTAATGACGCATCTCATAAGAATTTAGAGACGAGCATTACCAGTTGACTGAAAGCTAGCAAGATTGCTCAGTCAATAATGTACTTGCCACAGAAGCATGAGAAACTGAGTATGGTCCCCAGAACCCACAGAAAACAGGCAAGAGCTTCAGCACATGACTACAGACACAGTGCCCAGAGATGGAGACAGGGGGATCCCAGAAGCTTGTGGCCAGCTAGTCTAACTGAATCAGAGGGCTCCAGGTTCAGGGTGACATCCTGTGTCAGAGAGAGAGCTCCAGGTTCAGGGTGACATCCCGTGTCAGAAAATAAGGTAGACAGTTATAAACGGAGACACCTAACAGCAATATCAGAGCTTTATATGCATGCACACATTCTTGAATCCCTCACCATGTGCACTTCTACATGTGAATACATACAAACACATGAAGAAACAGTTGATGGACAACTTTCTGTCTTACCAAAGTCACATGAGTAGTGATCAGTGAGGCAAGGGTTGTATTATGCTGCCATAGGACGTGAGATCGTGTTTTTCACACATGGTTATACCCTTGAACCTAATAACATGCCTCCCTCTAGTAGAGATTCTGTTGCACATTACAGAAAGTAGGCACAAGAGATTAATTCACCCATGTGAGGTATCATTTAGGGGAG